ACCCAGATGGCTAATTCGAGGTTGCAGCCACCTACTTACCAGGCTGGGAATATTAAGGTCCATTTCCCAGTTCTAATTGATAGATTTTGTTTTTTCATCGATATTGGCAAAATTATATTTTTTTTGTCCTTGGAGGTAGAAAAGGTTCCACTTATCTTCGGATAAGTTAAAATTAAAAACAAAAAGGTTGGTATCTGACACACTCAGTCTTGAATCGCACCTATCAACGCAACATGTCTACTTCTGGTGAGCAGATAACGTTTTTTTTTTTCTCCTAGACGACAAGTTTTATTTATAAAGGATTTTATCCATCATCAAATGAATAAAATTTTGAAGGAAAGAGATTAATTATTGACTAACCTACATCTACCTGCACTAGCGGATCCAGGATTGAATTTTTTAGGGGGCTTCAGCCAGAAAGGTTTTTATAAATAATAATTACTACTTTGGCAGGAAAAGAAAAAAACTATCTAATTACCTATATAAAATGGTGTTTAATTGATTCTTGAAGTTCTATTAAATGTAATTACACGAACAATAACACTTTTACAGATAGGTTTTTAATATTTATTTCATAAGACATGGTTGTTTTAACATTTGGGAGAGGGCTTCAGCCCGAAAGCCCCCAGTAGATCCGCCCTTGTCTGCCGGCGAAACGCGACCACTTTCGGCAGGCATATATACCATTTCCAAGTCAATTGCTATCTTTTCCAAATCAAATTCAACCTTTTCCATAGATTTTGAAAACGACCTCCATTTTAAGATTAGGCCACAGCGTTTCGATTTCTTTGAGTTATTAGGATTTTTTTCATATAAGAGTGTATTCTTATGTTTCCGGAGCCGTAGATTTTGAAAACGACCTCCATTTTAAGATTAGGCCACCGCGTTTCGATCTCTTTAAGTGTTTCGAATTTTTATCATAAAAGAGTGTATTCTTATGTTTCCGGAGTCGTAGATTTTGAAAATGAACTACAATTTAAGATTACGCTACTGCGTTTCGACTTATTCAAGTTTTTTGAATTTATCCAATTTAAAGGTCTACTTTTATGATGCCGGAGCCTTAGTTTTTAAAACGACTTACCTTTTAAGATTAGGCCACTGTGTTTCGGTTTTTTTAATTGTTTTTGATTTTTCCTTCGAATAAAAAACAAAATAAGAAGAATTAATTTATTTTTCAATAAATAAATAAAAATATCTAATCGAAATAATTAAAATATGTATTGTCTCATTTTTAATTTAATTTTAGTTATCTTTTTTAATGTTGTGGTCTCCTGTAACAAAATTATAAGATTTCGAACAATTAACTGAAAAATCAACTGAACAATTAACTGAATACGGTAGGTTAAATTTATTACCAGTTGCTTTTCGGCTTTTTAGTTTGTATTCTGTGGTTAATTTAACTTTAGCTTCATAATATATATTTATTTATTTATTCATACTCGAAAACATATTGATGAAACTTTGTATTGAAAAAATCCAAAATGAAGCCTAATTAATCGAGATGCAGCGGCTTAATCATAAAATGGAGATTAAATATTAGATAAATTTAAATATTAAAGATTAGAAAAATTTCAATACGTCTCCGATAACATATAAGTAGATCCTTATACCGAAAAAGTAAAAAAAAAAACTAATATAATCCAAAACACAGTGGCATAAACTTGAAATGGGGTCATTTACAAAATGGGGGAAATCTACTGCTCCAGAAACATAAAAGTAGACCTTCAAATATGATAAATTCAAAAAACTTAAATAAGTTGAAACGCAGTGACGTAATCATAAAATAGAGGTCATTTTCAGAATCTACGGTTCCGAAAACATAAAAGTAGACCTTTAAATTGGATAAATTCGAAAAACTTGAATAAGTCGAAACGCAGTGGTGTAATCTTAAAATGGAGGTCGTTTTCAAAATTTACGGATCGGGAAACATAAAAATACACCCTTATATCGAATAAATAAAAAAAAAACTTAAATAATTCGAAACGCAGTCACGTAATCTTAAAATGGAGGTTATTTTCAAAAACTACTTATACGATAACAGAACCACACATCGAAAAATTAAAGATAATTAAATTTAAAAAAGGTTGAATTTGAAATGGAAAAGGTTTAATTTGAAATGGAAAAGGTTGAATTTGACTTGGAAAAAGTTTAATTTGACTTGGAAAAGGTTGAAATTGACTTGGAAATACTATAGTTTTTTTTTTTTTTTCCTGGGCAGACTAGCTTTATTTACAGAAGGTTCCATTAATTTTTGAGTAAATAAAATTTAGAAACAAAAAAGTTTGTCTCTGATCAATTTGGACTTGAACGGCGTCTTTTGAGAGAACGGGTCCACTCCCGGTTGAAAACTATGTAACGTTTGGTCCCTGAGTGGACTAGTTTTATTTAAAAAAGGTTCCAACCAACTTCAAATGAGTCAAATTTTAGACCACAAGTCGTTTTTTTGATGTATGTCTGCCGAACGAATACAATCACTTCCGGTTGGGAGACGTCGTTTTTTTTAGGCCTTGCTGTGGTCTAAAATTGCTTAGCAAAGATTCCAACTTTCATTGATAATTCAGTAAGTTTCCCTCACAGGATTATTTGTTTTTCACTGATGTTTTTAGTTATTTACTTCAAAATGCTCTATAAGTTTCATAACAATAATCAGCATTTATGTCGCATAAATTCTTAAATATTTATGTTGATGTGAGCGACAGGAAAATATATTTATATAGAAAATAAAGTACATTAATTTCTATGAACGTCAAATCCAAACAAGAAACTACATATCAATACACAGGGAGATCTACAAGGGGGAAAGGCTTTCCAGATGAAGCTCCCCAAATGGTAAAATATTATCATGTTTTATGGAAACAAATATTAAAAACTATCTCTTAAAGTAGTATTGTTCATGTAATTACATTTAGTAGGACTTCAAGAATCGCTTAAATATCATACAGGTAGTTAGTTTTTTCTTTTTTTTCCTTCAAATTAATCATTGTTGTATATATATATATATATATATATATATATATATATATATATATATATATATATATATATATATATATATATTAAAAATCTTCTGGGCTGAAGCCCCCCTCCTCCCCTCCCTCCAAAATTGAATCCTGGATCCGATAGTGTATCAATATATGTTGTTGTTCTAACTATATGGGGAGAAATAGAGAAACGCGTTTGTTATTTAATATCCAAGATTATAATTTTCTAAATTTTAAATTTAATTTCATATCGGTTTAAAAAATAATAAATGTTCTGACGTTGTTACAGATTTTGTTTCATTAATGCAATTTAATAAGTTTGTCGACATTTCGATCCAAATATGTGGGTCAACAAGACAATGGTTTGCAGGCGAGACAAAAACTCTTGTGAGTGACTGTATTTCCTTACTATTTTTCACTTTTATAATTTGAGATTGTATTTTAATTTTATTTTGGAGACTTCTAATTTTAGTTTCAACTTTATGTATTGGTAGGAATATTTTCAAAAATATGCCTTCAAACATAAATCCATATAATTTCTGTATGTGATCTTTTGCGAATTGTTTTTTATTATCAAACATTTCACTATTATATTGTTATATCAACAAGATATCTTACACATAAATAAATGCATTGATTTACTTAGAAGCGTTGTTAAAATTATTCCTATCAGTATAAACAATTTGAAATTGATTTCTGTTTATAGAGAGGATACTAACTGTCGATAGTAGTTCTAAACTACTATCGACTACTATACTGTCGATAGTAGTTCTAAACTACCGATGATACCATCGACAATGGTCTATCTCTACTATTCCCACACCAACACTCGGCGGATTTGATGGTTGGAGGAGGGGCATTCACCTGTTTCACAACTTTAAAACATTAAACTACATTCAACGAATGTTGGGAGATTCTAGGAAGTGTATTGACTATAATACAATATTCAATTTTTAGAAACCTGATTTTTTAATATTATTAAGTAAATTCAACTATTAAAACGTGGATATTAGAAAAAATGATTAAAAAATAATTCGAGTATCTTCCCCACATAAATATTACATTTTTATTAATTAATTAAAAACTGTCTGAGATGTAATAGCAAATATATTTGAAAATAAATTGTTACAAAAGATGTTACTTGTCAAAGCAATTATTTAGAAAAGTTAAGGTTGTGATTTCAAGGTTCAGTGGCAATAAAATTGATAATCAACATTAATTTCAAGAACAATTAAATGTATTTTCAATATAAAAATTAAAATTAGATTGTATATATATATAAGTATTACAAATTTCATGAGACAAACGTCGGTATATGTACAACAGATTTTATCACAATCAAACTAACATCCATGGCCAGCATATAATGGAGAATCATCAGTTCTGTATTCTTCATCAAGTAAACGAAATTCATAGGCAAATTTGTTTCTTTCAGCACACATACCAATACTATGAGCAAGGAGTGCCTAAAATAAAGAATTAAATATAAATATTTAAAAGCTAATCTGATAATTTATGTATATCATAATTTCTTTATAAAATGAAGTAATTACTTGAAGGTAAACAATTTTCTTCAGTTTAGAATAAGCTTCAATATGCCTTGCCAGGGTTGCAGCCTAGATCAACATAGTTAAAAATAAAAGACAAAATATAATAATAATAATCTTAATGTAAAACATACTTCATTTCTTTAGTAAGCCGAATGTGGAAGGTCACATGGGCTATTGGACTACAATTTCCTGAACCTCGATCAAAGAAGCACAGAAACAGCAGAAAATCTAGTTTTATTCAACTCAGGTTGCCCAACCTTTTTATAATGTCATTTGTACATGTTGGCAGTTACCTAAGAAATAGCTAAATGACTGAATGTTTAAATATTAATATTAATATTGATTGTCTCTTTTAATGATTGTGGCATTTAGCTAATTTTTTAGTGTTGTTGGTGATTACGCTTACCTCACTAAAAATTGTTCAACTCAATTTTCTCTATTTGACACTGAAGCTGTTGTTGATTTCCAGGTTTTAAATGGTGTTTTTGTTGTAAAAGTGTAATATGATTAATTAAATGAATGCCCATATAAAAAATTTCCACATTTAATTTAAATAATTTAGGCTTTATCAATTTTACTTTTATTCATACACCTGTCGCAATGTTTTAGCCACTTCAGGCCATTATCAAATTCATTATGGTCATTGGACAGCTTTGAGAAAGAATGTCTCTACAGTTTGTTCAGGTTTGGAAGCAAAATAGTGCAATAAATCCCTAAAACTATTGGATAAAGCAATTCCTCACAAGCCTTAGGAGCTTTCCGCCCAAGCTTGATGATCCAAGTAACAACATCGAATCCATAAGCGTTCTAGCAGCATAGGGTATGTCAAAGCACTAAAGTTTAAATTGCTGAAAAACTGTACTCTTGGTTCTCACAGAGAATAATACTCCACGGAGGGTGAGAGGGGAAAGTATAATTGGAACTGCCCACTTCAACCTAGGGGAAAGAGGACCTAATTCTTGATATAAAAGCAGGAGAATGCTCAGAAGCAGGAGAAAACCAAAGATAAAGAACAGGAGTCCATAGAACATTGTCAATGTGCACAACTCCATGGATCAACATCACAGTTAAGTATGATTATTTCCACTATAAATATATTAACTTTTGTTTACAAAGTGATATCTGAAGAAATAAAATAGTCCACTTTAAGAAAGGGATGCACACAGAGTTAATAGATTGTACATGTTAAATATAACTTATTGATAAGAACCACAATCCTCACCTTTGATAAAAGCCTAATGGCTTCTGAGATATCAGTATGTTTGTTTTTGTAAGTTGCAACTCTGCATTTAGCATATAGAACAAGACCATCAGATATATCTGACCAGGAGCCATGAGCTAAAACTCGAAGAAGAGCTCCTTCAACAGTTTTAACAGCTTGCTGAGGTAAACCCATTTCCAACTAAAATCAAAATAAATATAGTACACAGTATAATTTCAAAAGTTAGACGTTAAAAAAAATATATCTCACTTGTATATTTCCCATTTCTAGAGCTATTAAAGCTGCCCAGTAGTCTACATAGAAATGTGTTGCAATGTGATAAGCATCAGTGAGAGAGAGAACAGCAGATCTGGGTAACGCTCTTGCTAATGCATATAAAGCTCTGACCTTCATAACAGATAAATCAGAAGATTTTTCTAAAGCTACTCTACCAGCCCTTTCTGCTCCTTCTCTGTCTCCTCTAGCAAAGCATAATTCACTTTCTCTAAAACATTTTTAAAATATAAAAATTATAATCACGATCAGTAAATAAGTACTTAAACAAAAAATAAATTGTTATAGTAACAAGTTACCTTAATAAAGCTTCTATTGGATCGACAGCAGCAAGCCTATCCACGGCTTCTTTAGCCAATCCCCAAAGACCTCTATGTAGAGATTCGGTAAAACATAAAACTGATTCAGACCACACCCACCATTTGGAATCAGGTGCTCTTTCCTTTCCATGATTGATAACCGCCCATGCCAATCCATATTCACCCTAAATAAAAACTAAAAAAATCAGAGCTAAAATCATTGGAAACAATAACAAAACTAACATTAATAAAATTATTAATCGCTGGAATATTTTAACACATACATTTTATTTTTAATCATTTATTTTTATTTTTGGTGATCCTAAATTCAGAAAAGTAAAATATAATTACAAAACCAAGTAAAATTATACTGGTATAAAAAATAAAGAAAAAGAATTTCAAACTTTTTTTTAACGATATTTGAAAACAATTAGGGCAAAATTAATAATATAATTGATGTTTAGACTTTATCTTGAGAGGCACAAAGCAGGAAGACAAAAAAGAAGGTAAACCCTATAAAAAAAAAGAATATTTTTTTTGTTAACTCCTTCCTCACCTTTTAAGCTATACACTAACACACAGATTAACACTAGAGTTAAACGTCCTATGGCACTGGGATACAAACTCGTAATTATTTTATAACTTTTAAACTTCGGTTTATCATCTGGTTGCAGGGCAACACATGTTTTGCACTGCTTTAGCCCAGCTGGTCACCCCCCCCTTAATAAAAATAATAAGAATACTATAAAATGAAGGGTTTATGTATAGTGTCTTTCTATTCCATTTCATAAAACATACTCATACCATATATACACAATAAAAATAAATCAGAAAGTTAAATAAATTATAAAATTAGAAATAATGAAAGTGGTATGTATAAGGCCCCTTTCACACTGAAGATGCAAGACGCAGGATGCATGTATCTTAAACACTGGACTATGTAACAGAAAGAAAGCTTTCACACCAAGGATTCAAGAGCATCTTGCAGCCTGGATACAAGATGCACGTGCATCTTTGTTGTGCTGGTCTTCCATACTCGCCCCTTTCACCTCGGTCCGCCCGAAACAAAATATTTTTGAGGAGCAATCATTTGGTCCGGTCAGCTTAAACCGCCAACGCTCGGTATACCCTCCCCTTTTCAATTTTCTCTAAGTTCTTGTGATTGAAGTCTCTATCAATTGCTTTTTTATTTTCAACAATTGTTTTCTTTTTAACTATACTGTTTTTTATCAATTGCTATGATTTTCTCCATATGTTTTTATCTATTTTTCTTGATATTTTTGATAATTTGATATATTGATGAAGATTTAAAATTTTATACCAGAATTGCAATAAATCGTAAGTAATCATTTTCTATTGAAATGACGAGTGAATGTCATGAAGTGGTATGATCTTGGGTTTCTTTTCTTTTCTGTCCTAATGATGCCTGAATTGGTGAATCGTTGGCGGCTTATTTCATTCTTTACCTGCATTTTAAAGACACAAGGTGTGAGGTTGGAATTTTCCAATTATAAGGTAACATTTATTCTCCCCCTCCCCTACCCAACATGTGGTATTGATACTTTTAATATACAACGCTGTACAAAATATACCTAAGTAATGTTTTCAGTACATTCATATGTTTAAAAAATGAGTAATACAATTCATGGGAAAATATAATTATTTACCTCAGAAATATGAGTAGGCTTTCTTTCCCAGATACACACACCCCACAATTTGTATCCCAATGACTCAGTGATGGGTACATGAGATCCAACAGCTTATTAAAAGTCGAAATCTCCATTTTATAGTATGGCTAAAATTTTACTGAATGGTTCAATAATTACTGAGACACAATAGCAGAGCTATAATCTTCAGCATTATTCCAGTATGGATGCTCCCTTAAACGATTTCTTCTTTGCCTTCGTCTTCTTCTTATTGTACAAGCCAGAATTATAATTTCGTCACCAGAAGAATCGGATGATTGATTATTTATCTTTCAAACTCACGTACTAAACTAACAGAGATAATGGATATAAATAGAAGATGCAAGAGGCATGTGCATCCTTGGTGTGAAAGCTCTTTCACCAAGATGCGAGACGCACATGCATCCCTGCATCCAGGACGCATGAATCTTGCATCTTCCATGTGAAAGAGGCCTAAGTCATACGATGTAAAAAATTTATAAAGTTTTTATAAAATATAAAAACTCATTTTAAGGAAACTAATTTTTACCTGTATTGTAAAATACAGTGCTATGTTGGATACAGCTATAACAACAGGTTCTGTTCCATTTGCAGAAGACGCCTGACCATGAAGTAATAACTGAGCAGACAAACAGGCCAGTTCACTTCTACCATACATTGCCCAAAGTGCAGCCCGCATGGCATGTCCAGTACATAGGAGATCAAGTAGTGAATGCTGACAGTTCACAACGTCACTTTTTGAAAGTAGCTGAAAAATTAACATGAGACAATTAAAAATAGATCTTAATTATATCTTTTTATTATATATAAAAGTTTTTAGTGATAACCATATAATATTTTATTTTACATATACAAAGCGGGACAGACAGAAACCATATTTCTTATTCCCAGAATTATTTCTCCCTTTTGTGGTTACAAATTGACAATAAGAATAATTATAATTATATACAATAATAATAAATTGGCATATAAATTTAATATCATATAGATTTTTAAATAAATTAAAAATTTGTCCGAACTGTTTCATTCGGTTTATTTTATTTTGATAAAAGATAATACAATCTGAACTACAGAATACATGTAAATTACAGCTATACAATTTGAGCAACAAGTAGTACAATTAACGAACAGTTGTATAATTTGTAAAATGAGGGTTGGTCTACTGTTGGATGGACAGAGAGTTGGGCGAAAAATGGAAAAATATCTGATGTGGATAGCAGAAATAGGTATTTGCAGATAAAGGGCAGTGAAAATAAAAATTACAGACGGTACAAAATGTAATTTGAAACAATTAATTACCATATCTTTTATTACAGTCTTTACAGTGCAAATTAATATATTCATGCTTTCTTTGTCACTAACTGTTACCTATATATTTTAATTATTTATTTGATTATAACAATGATTCATATATATATCAATTTCCATGTGTGCTCTTTTGTCTTATTTTATACATTTTATCAAATTTGTTACCAGAGATACATAGAACTTGGTTAATACAGATATCCAATTGATAATCAAGTGATGTTGAAGCTCTGGATAACATCTTTGATAAAATAAGACAAAAGAGCACACATGGAAATTGATATAAATGAATTGCGAGGATAGTTCTAATGACCTTTTATCACTATTTAGCCTATTTATGACCGCAACCCCGGACCATCTTCTTCCTTTATAATGCAACGGTCATCTATTAAATATTCAAATACAAAATTTGTTTGCATTTATGGGAGTTTTTATTACTGACCTCTGACAAGAAAATATGTTTTTGAAGGAAAAGACTAATGACCTATAATTTCTGAAAACAGAAGGTTCCTATGAAATTTGAAGAGCTTTTACAAACAAACGCTGACCACCAATGTGTTGGGAAAAGCCTCTTATTTCGTCACTTTATCTGGTGCCAAAGGCGAATTCCTTTGTGAAAGAGTTTCATCAAATTAAATTAGTTTTTTAAAATTTAATCTCAGCCAAGTTGCTAATGTTTTTAAAAGAGAAGTTAATGGAGGGATGTTTGACGAAAGGAGATGTTGGATGAAGCAGTCATTAGAAATACAAAAAAAAAATAAATTATATTTTTGAGTACTTCCAATGACTGCAATCCCCGACCAACTTCTCTTCTCAGAATTTAGTCCACCACACTAGTATTTTTAGTATTACAATAACATTTGAGATAAATCTTTATATATTATTTAAATATATTTGTAATCTTTATATATTATTTAAATATATCTGTAATCTTTATATATTATTTAAATATATCTGTAATATTTATATATTATTTCTCAAATTTGTATCTATGCCGGATCTTCATTAATTCTTTATCAAATGCAATGTTTGAGCCATAATTTTGAACATTATTTTCTCCTGGTGGGAAAAATAAGTACATCCTCCAGCAACGTCAAAGAAAAACCTTATGATGAAAAATAAACATTGTTTGCGCATAAATCATGAAGTATAAAATTTATGGTTGATTACAGCTATGGTTATTAAATTCTCTATAAAATGAGAAAAAAAAAATCATCAATATTGATAAAAAATCTGTCCTATAGTATTTTTTTTTACTGGTATTTTCAGATCATATTCTTTAGGAAAGCTCTATTAGGCAATTTATGAATCCTTATAATTAACAACTGCAATATTCCAGATATACAGTTTTTGATTATTTGAAAATCTAATAAAAAGTGAACTTATAGTTTCATTGGAACCAGCTCAGCATTGCACTTGACAATTTTTTGCTGTTCTTGTTATTTTTTCACACTCTTCTCGCTTGTCTGAGTTATAGTGATGGGAAAAACTGTTTATTATAACTGGCAGTTGTAACAGCTTCTGCTACTTTAAAAAAAAAAAAAAAAACAGTTCACTCCATTCCAAACAGCAATATCTTTATAAATAATTTCTCAAAGGTGATTTTTTGTTGATATACCATATCTTCTTTAAGACTTTCATTGCAGTGTTCAATCTACTTGAAAAATTGATTTTCCAAAATAAGTTCTTGAATATCTTTATGGAAGAAAAAAAAAACTCTATGTATGATGTACACATTAGCCTATCACCTGCAATGTATTACGAGTTTGGTTATGCAAACCAATAAGATGACCTGTCATTTCCTCAGCAGGGAAGGTATCCATCCTTTCTTACCTGAACATGTGAACAATTATCTATCATCCAGAAAACCAACATCTCAAAATAAAAAATAATAACAAAATCCAAAATATTTGTACATTTACTTATTTTATAAATGATTACATATATATTTATAAAAAAAATAAATAAAATCTGAAATAAAAAAAAATTGATCTCATTTGATACCAAATACATTACATTAATTAATATTTTAACACTATACAAAACTAACATATATATATATATATATATATATATATATATATATATATATATATATATGTATATATGCATATATATCGAGAGAGAGATTAGAGAAAATATATCACCCCAAAAACTTTTGCTGGAAGATCAGAATTTTTTGCAGCATGCTCAGCATATGCCTGAAGTCCAAATGAATATAAATAATTTAAATTCAGATCCTCACATTTAACTCTAGATCTATCGATAAGCATACCCTAAAAATTAGAAAAAAAAAAATAAATGAAAAATAATGTTTTCAAGGTATGGTAATTGAATATATAAGATGAATTATATTTACTTTTTGATCATTAGTTAGTTTATACATCCAAGCTTGAGTATGCTGAAGACAAACATTGTCATTTGATTCATGAGCAAGGGTTATAGCTTCTTTCAAAGCAAACATTGCTTCTTCTCTGCAAATTGAAACAAGGGAATTATATTTAGTGTAATTAAAAATTTTGTTTAAATTAAGTGAAAACACCATAAATAATTTGCATTATTATAGAATATGAATTTTTGTTTGAATAAATAAAATTTAGAAAAAACATATAAAAAAGTAAGTCATAATGTTTTATATATTTTCACTAAGAACAGATAGACTAAAAGCTACCGATACTTTTATTTAAACAACAGACTTATAATCATTTTTTAAAGAAAGGAACTAAGAAACTAATAAAGGTAACTGAGTTAGGAACTTATGAAATAAATAATAACGGTAACATGTTAATCAAATTTAATGAAAGCATCAGAAAGCTTGACTAAAAAAGAGGCCCATGTGACATTGTCGTGAGAGCATTCACTTTTTTTGGATTCATTACCAAGTGTGGCAATACTGGTGCCGGTGATGGATATATTATTTAAAAATTTTGGGACAACTGCTCTTGAAAGTATACATATTTTTACGCTTAAATTTACATATACCTAAAAAAAAGGTATAAACAAAGTGGTTTTGACTAGTTTTTGAAGTTTTGTACCACTGAGTATCTCATTACACTCTCTTTTAATGAAGATTAGAGGTGGCATGGGGCATATTTAATAGCGTTGTATATTACCCTCTGATATTTTTACCAGAAAAATTAAAATTCTTTCACGGACAAAAAAAATATGATAAACACAATTTGCATATAAAAGCAATACACGCTTTTTATCAACGCTATATATAAAACGGTAGAATAGATCTCTCTCAGAAGTGAATGAGGTATCTTCAATAAGTTATTAGGGTTTTTAATGTTACTTTTTTAAAGTATCTTTATATTAACAAAAAAAAAAAATCTGGTGCGGTACGTGCATCACATAACTTTCACTTACCACCCTTTTCTTAGAATAAATAAGTATTTTCAGATAAGGGGTAAGTGAAAGTAAAAATTATAGATTATATTTATTTATATTTCATTGTGAGTGTTTTTATTTGTATACCCTTATATATAAAATTATATATATATATATATATATATATGTACCCTTATATATAAATTTTAATATTTATATCGGTGTAATCTATATAATTAAATATTAAATAATACCAACAATAGCATTTATGAAAACCGCATATGTATATTTATATAATATTGTCGGAGTCTGTATTACATTAAGCTCATGTTACATATGGAAACCTGTTATAATCTTTCGGGTGAGCTCGGGTGTGATCGTATTCCTTTGGTTCCTGAATTACAACTATTTTCCGTTACGATTTCTTATTTCTCCTTTAGGTAATTATCAAATTCTTTCATATTTTATATTTAATTTTCTTTTATATTAGAGATTATCAAATAAAAAAAATTGAAGGTACTTTAGGGGAAGCTAATATTGAAAATTAGCAATTTAAGCCCTGTTAGACAACATCAATCAGAATAAAAACTATATTTTATTTAAAACTGCTTAATTTTACAATGATATACTGAATTTAATCAAAATCATTAGAGCCGTTTTTGAGAAAATCGTAAAAATGTTTAGTCCATGATATAAAGCGCTACTTCCGGTTAGCCGATTTTGACAAAAAAGTTGCTGTAACATCCTTAGCATATAAAAACCTTAAATATGCAAAACTTTTGAATGACTTTTCATTTTTGAGCCAGATTGTTAACACACACACACACACACAGACACATATGCATGGAGACCATTTTCCAGGACATGGTTATCTGGAAAACGGAGATTCGAAAATTTTCACAATCGCAATACTTTCCTTTACTATATAAGCTTATATCATATATAAGTAAATGAAAGTAAAAAAAATAATTAAAATTAGTTATTAATTAATTATTTTGAAGGAAAAAATTAGTCTATGGGCAATTCAACATAAGATTCAAGTTTCCTATATTATGCATATAAATTGTTCCAGTCACGGCAAAACTCACAAACTAAAAATAGTCTGATATTTTGTTGATCTGCTACAATGAATGTAACTACTTTTATTTTATTTTTTTCTTGCAGTTAATAAGTTAGGCCATGACAGGAATGACATAAAGTATTTATATTAATTTAAATATTTTTGTCATTCATAATTTTCATACTTATGATTAAATGATGAATGTAGTATAGACAAATTCAGAGCAGCATAACACAATCCTCGGCATTTGGTTTCTTCATCACACTGGGGATTTCTTCTATCAAAATAATGGTAAAGACTTTCTTGAGCACCACAGAACTCTCGACTTCTAAGACAGTTCATGTAGCTAACAAAATGCTATAAATTAACAAAACAGATGCATCATTAGCGATGAAATAAAAACAGATTCTCTTAAATTTACTATAAAAAAAATTCTTTAATTTATTTTTTATTGTATAAACAGATGAATTTGTTTTTAAAATAAAGACACTATAACATAGATTAAATATAAAAATAATAACATAAAAAAAAAATTATATAAAAATTAGTCCAACAATCAATCCTTGTACTTACAGTGACTCACACTCAAAATTATACATGGAATTTACTTATTATTCTATTTTCATCTCAGAAATGTTCAATAAAATGTTGAAACAGAGCATAACTCCTATAAATAAAACAAAAACTTTCCTTTGAGTTTCTTACCAGTTACCTATTGTTCGTATATCGAGATAAGAACTGAGAGGTTTATAGAAATCTGTGTTTGGGTGGGAGGTACAGAAAGGGTAGACATTTATATTTTAAATGTTTACATTTAGTTAGTAAATTTCAGTTAATTTCCTTGAAAACATGTGATTTACGTTAAGTAATGTAAGTTTTCAAAAATTATTATTTTTAATTTTCCCCCCACTCTTTATCAACTTCTACAACTTTCTATATTAGATATTGTTTTTTCTAAAATAATTCGCTTTCCAACGATATATTATACATATACCTTCTGACTGTTATTTCCGGAGATTCATTTTCGATCTGGGAAGACATTTTTATTTTTTTCTCCTTTATTCAATTATTAAATTTTTTCAAAAGTTATACTTAGCATTTTATCGTAACTCTTAATAACGAGATATAGTTAATTATTTAAAACAAACCATATAATATTGTCAGAGTCCATATTATATTAAGCTCATGTTATGTATGGAAGCCTGTTGTAATCTTATCACTGATTATTTAAACGCCACTTATGAAGACCGAAGGGCTGGTTGAAACGGACCTGTTAAATGTCCACCACGATCTCCGGATTTAACGCTATTCGATTATTTTGTATGGGGTTGGATGAAGTCTATTGTTTATTCTGCGGCAGTTGGCATGCAAGAAGAGCTAAGAAATCGGATCGCAGGAAGCCGTAGTAACTATCAAGCACCTGAAGCAGAGTCAGGGAAGCATGGATTCGTCGTGCTGAATGTTGCATTCAACAAAGCGGAGACCCCTTTGAACAGTTACTCTAAATGTTGTAATAATAATAAATAATAAATCTTTAACCTTTGGTATCTAATTAATAAATGAGTTTGAGATATATGTTAATATGAACTTTTTTGTTTATTTTGTGTTAGTGGACACATACCTAAAACAGTGTCGTGCAATTACGAAACACTCTGTATATATTAGGATTGATGGTATCAATTAATATATAGAAATAAAAAAATACATGAAAATGAAGAGTTAAAACTAAATATTATGATTTTAGAAGGTGGAAGATGTTGGAGTAGAATGATGCAATAGTCAAAGAGACAATTATTTATAAGTTTTACTTCATATACCAGATTTATCAATTCTTACATAATTATGTATTTTTAATTTTGATCATGTGTTAAAATTTTCATTGACATATTTTTAATATTTTGGTTGAATAATCGTTAACTGGAGGTTACCCTATCACTTTGCTTCCGTACCTCCTGTCCAAACACAGTTTTCCATCAACTTCTCAGTTCTTGTCTCGACATCCGATTAATAGGTAACTATTAAGAAACTTTTTATATTTATTAAACTCTGTTTTTATATACAGGGTGTTTCTATCTAATAATGTTTAAAAAAAGAATACACACCATGGAGGGTATCTGAAACCTATATGTGGCGCATCCCCAGGTGATGAATAGTAGAATGCTTGCTATGTATAGAGAGAAATAAGGGAAATAAAATATCTTTCCGAGGGATAAACAGATTAGGAGAAGGAAACCCTAAATAATAAACCAATCATGGCGAGTCAGGAGGATGTTTAGAATCTTATGGTGCATAGGGTTGGATCCAAAGTACTGGCATCGATTGGAGACGAGCTAGTAGGCTGTCAGATGTTGACATCATGTGGCTGTTGCACAATTTACGGAATGAGTTTGAATTTTTTACAGTAAGAGTGGAAGAAACTTGCTAATAATATTATAGACCTCGACAATTTTATCGAAGCAAGAGACAATGTCCATGGAGAGAAAAAAGTGTATGCCTGCAACATAAAGGAATAACTTAAATCACTGGGGAGAAAATTTTGTGACTACACAGCTGAGAAAACAAAATGTATGGCTAGAAGAAAGCAGGAGACAGATACTTCCAGAGAACAGGCGAAGGTACCCACAAGAGGAAGGATTCTTTACTGGGTAAGAATACCCATACGTGGATAAGTAAAGGCCTATTATTTTTTTTTTTAAGATTTCTATCTACCTATGTTAAAAAACATACTCGCACGAGCACTCACACACGCACACACAGAGACCATTTTATTAAAGTTGATCATTTGGATTCAGAGGACCCCAAAACATGTATTTCCGTTGAAAACTCAGATTCAAAATGTTTCTTAATCACAACACCTTTTCTTATTATATATAACATATATAGTTAAATGAAAGGAAAAATGAATAAAGAGATTAGTAAACTAACACAGCCAAGAATCAAAGAATGCTTTCTTAACCAAAGTAAACAAAGCATTGTTTTCCTTGCAAAGCTGTTTGTATCTTTTTGATTGTGAATCACAGTATATTGAAGTTTGTCAATGAAGAAACTAATGAGGAAAGGGGTGATGAGTAATACAATATTATCTCATAGAAAACAAAAACTTACAGCCTCAACATGATCTGGGTTACCAGTTAATACATCATGGATTTTTGCTTGCAACTGGGGTGGAGACAGGGCATCACCAGTTTGGATCAGTTTAGCTTGTTCGCCAAGGAATAGTTCTAGCTGTCTTTTAGACCACAAACCTACTGGACCTTCATGGCTGAAAAGAAAAGTACATTGGTAATAACTAAAGTACAAGTATAAAGTTCTAAGTACAAAATATTAAGTTCTATTCTCTTATCTGAAATAGTCATTACAATGCTTTAATATTTAAAGTCAAATACATACCTAGCTTTTATTTCAGATTCATCACCAATAGAACTCAATTCCATATCCATGGCTGGAAAAGTTGGCTTTGAAGCATGAACATATGCATGCAAAGCTTTGTGCATGGCAATAGTTTGTGAAAAGTAAAGTTTGTCAAAAAACAGTCTTACTCTTCGCAAAAATAGACCTAATGAGAACATGAATATCAATTGATGAACTAAATAAATATGACTAAAAGAAATAAAAAAACTTTAAATTTTTTTATTTTAACTTATCTATATATGAAATATATACAATTGTATTAAGAATCCCTATTTTCAAAGAGCATCTTATGAATCACGTATAGCACAATGAATCAAAATAAATAAGTCTTGCAAAATGATTTGTTTATGTGACTAGCATAGCTCAAATACTGAAAGATGTACAAAACTTAAATTACGTATTTAAGATGAGTATATGCATGAGATCTTACAGCAATCTTTTCACTAAAATTGGTTTACTGTAATGCCACTAGTTTCACTATTTACTTGAATATGATTCCAATGATTTTGACTGAACAAATTATTTCAATATACAATCAAATTTTAATTAAAATGAAGTAGGTATCTTTTTTTTTTGGGTCCTCCCCTTCCTCGCCTTTAAGGCTATACGGGGTTTTCCCGGGCCCAGGGGTTGTGGGCGGGGATTTAAAAGACTCCCCCGGCACCGGGACGCGAACTCGTGACTATTTAAATCTATTATCTCATAGATCAGGTTGCCGGGGCAACAGCGGTGCTGTGCATTCACGTTAGCCCGTTCGGCAACCCCACCCACACTTGAAGTAGGTATTATCCCCTTTGAAATTATTTGACACAGAACTAAAATATCTTCCTCTAAATACCTTAAATTTTATTTATTTGAAATAATTCTGTCTCCCATTGATAGTAATAATAAATAAAAAGTTGTCTCTCGAGTAGTTTCCAGTAGTCTCAAGGAAAAGCCACTGACGAGGTACAAATGAATTTCTTTTAGTTCATTTTCGGATTCTACATGAACCTAAATGTAAAACCTCAAATTTTCAGCGGAGTTTACTTTTTTTTTCTTGGTCGATTAATGAAAATAATAAACCAAAAATTATAATTCAAAATTTCTCATGATCACAATACTTTTCTTCATTACAAAAAATGTATAACATAACTGAAAGTAAAAAACAAAACAAAAACGTACTCAACGAACCAAGAGAAAAACATGAACTATGTTTTTTTCCCATGTGTCCTATGACAAAGTACTTTCCACTATCCTTAAATCCCACACCAATGATTATGGTCCTGACAATATTCCAGTAAAACTAATAAAATCCAGCCTTCCTATCCTTATTCCAGTACTTTATCATACTTACAACTTTTCATTGCAAAATTCCATATTTCCCTCTTCCTAGAAAACTACACTAGTCCGATCTTTGAGTAAAACATCTAACCCTTCCTCACAGAACGACTTCCGTCCTATTTCTCTTCTTTCCAACCTCTCAAAACCACTGGAAGGCCTTGTCCAAAATCAACTTTCCAACTTCCTAGAGGAACGTTTCTTTATCAATCCATTCCAATCTAGCTTCCGACCTGGCTATTCAATGCCATCTGCCCTCCTTAAAATAACCCATGACCTCCAAAACTCCATTGAACACCAAAACCTTACTATCCTCATCCTTCTCGATTTTTCCAAAGCGTTTGATACAATTGATCATAACATCCTTCTTACCAAATTGTAAAATCTTCCTCTATCCAACCAGAGGATCTGGATTTCGATTTTCTTAATGATGATAAAAAGACTGTAATGCCACTAGTCTTACTATTTACTTAAATATGATTCCAATGATTTTGACTGAACAAATTATTTCAATATACAATCAAATTTTAATTAAAATGAAGTAGGTATCTTTTTTTTTGGGTCCTCCCCTTCCTGATCTTTAAGGCTATACGGGGTTTTCCCAGGCCAGGGGGTGTGGGCGGGGTTATCACTTCCATCCCTCCCCACATCCGTCAATCCAAAACCCTTCCTACCTTTAAATCCCGACTGTTTAATCATTTCTTATCCATCCAGTCCTCATAAAATTGTAAATAGTTACTACTGTAAATATGTATATAAATTATTAGATTACAATCCCGGACACTTCCTGCGTTGGTTCAAATCCTTCCTTTCCGATCGATCCCAGTATGTAGTCGTCCCAGATCAACCTCCTTCAAAGACACTTCCTTTCTCCTGTGGTGTTCCTCAGGGTTCCTCCTTGTCTCCTACTCTGTTTGCTATTTATTTACATTAATGACCTTCCCCTCCTCATCCATCACTCCCAATACCACATCTATGCTGACGATTTCCAAATATACCTGTCCTTCCCCCCTTCTGACCTATTTGCCACCACAAAAAAGCTTCAAGAAGATTTAAATAGAATATATGACTGGGCAGGAGCTAGCAAGCTGAAGTTGAATGCGGAAGAGACCAAGGCAATCCTAATAGGCTCCAATCACCTTCTCAAAATTGTTCCTAACTTTCCAACCATGTTCCTACATGATAATCCCATTAAATTTTAAGGAATAATCTTTGATCAAACCCTTTCCTGGAAAAACCATGTGTCCAATATCTCCCGACGTACCTTTTCCACCCTAAAACACTTAGATAGCCTGCGACACCTTTTTCCTTTTGCGATCCGTAGACTCCTGATCACCTTAATATTTTCCCACTTCGACTATTGCTGCATGGTATATGGAGGCGTCTTTAGGGATCTTGAGGCGAAACTAAACCATTTGATAAATTGCTTTGTAGGATTCATCTTTGGGATCCCAAAAGACGCCTCTAAGTATTTCCTGGCATCCTTCCTCTTCCAAGTAATTCACTCCCGCCGTCCTTCATAAATCATCGAGCTCCTTCAATTTAAATCCTCTGTCCACTCCCGCAATACCCGTTCCCGGTCTTCAGATTTATATATAATGGCCCACCAAACCGCTGCTTTTGATAAATCTTTTATTATTCGATCCTCTTCCCTATGGAACTCCATCCCTCCCCACATCCGTCAATCCAAAACCCTTCTTACCTTTAAATCCCGACTGTTTAATCATTTCTTATCCATCCAGTCCTCATAAAATTGTAAATAGTTACTACTGTAAATATGTATATAAATTATTAGACCGTTCTTTATTATTTTCACTTCATGCTTATTTTCAATTTTTTATTTTTTATTATTAACTGATGTAAATTAGAAAGTAACTTATAATTTTTCTTATTATTTTCTTTTACTTATTATTTTTTTGACTATTTAATCAAAATATATTCTTGTTTAAGTATCTCTGAGGCTCCTTAGCTCACATTTTTGTCTCTCTGTATTATTTTAAAGGGACTCGTCCCAGAATAAATAAAGCATTATTATTATTATTATGTTTGAACTGTATTCGCAAACATTTGTAAAGACATACTTCATAAAATAAGCAATGCTATAACAGTCATTAAATTATTAATTTAACAATACAAACAATTATTAATTAAATAACAATAAAAGAAAAAGTGATAAAGCTTACCTAATTTACTGCTTGGCTTAATAAGTGCATCATAGCTATTTTGTTCTAATGATATTCTATCAATGTTGTTTAAAACATCCATGATACTGCCTACATCTCTTTTTAACAAATTCTGAATTTCTTTCTTGAAATGATCAACTAGGTCCGGATATAGCTTATATTTTCCAGAATTCAATACAGCAAGGAACTCTTCATATTCCATATCTGGTGACTAAAGAAACAGAAATCAGAGAAAAGTTTCAATAAGAGTGTTATGAAGACAATAAAGACTTTTTGTTTCTTTAAACTTTATTTTCTTTAACCACGCCTGTCTGAAGTACTGACAATTACCGAGTTTTATATAATTTGAAACAAAATTTATGTTATTAATTTTTGCTGTTGCTTTTCCCGGATTTTTAGATTACAATATGTCAATTGTTTTATTTTTTTTTTTTTTGCAAAATAAGAAAGAATTTGACTATTATTTAAATGAGTTATAAAGCATCATAAATTACAAAAACCAAAAGGCACGCGCTTTCGGTAAAGTAGGCCAAGTAAATTTTTTTTATGAAAAAGCAAGTTAGATTCCGACTGACATCAATAACTTTTGATTTTATTTCTTTTTACACTAAGAATTAAGAAAAACTTCTAACCCATTTTTATTTTCTACCTTTGGTTCTTATTTGTTTACGAAGGTCGCATTTGTACCATTTTGTGAGCATACAGAGGCCTATATCTCTAATAATTTTTTTATTGGTCGGTGGAACTGTTCTAAAGTTATCACCATTTTTATGGTTATTGCTAAAATTTCGAAGGGTCCGGTCCAGACAAAAATTTAGTGCAGGAAATTAAATTTTTTGATTGCTGTAAAAATTCAGACTTAAGGGTTTCTTGAGGTGCGAAAGAGGAATATCAACTTTGATGCTCTCTAAAAAAATATTTACTCTAGATACCAGACTGGTTTTAAATCAATATTAGATTTGGCAGATAGCTACAGTATGGGCTCAATTTGAACCAACGGATGTAGCAAAGTGGGAGTAACCATTGATGACAACCATAAAAATTATGATAACTTTAGAACTTTAAATCGGTGACCCACAGACTGTATCCTCCCCTTGTTAGTTAATTCACATGCAATGAATCCATCCTGTAATTTGATCTGGTTTGACTCTTGAGATGCTCAGAAGGCAAAAAACAAGACAAGATACAGATAAGTTAGAAGTACAGTCAAATGAGGTATATAAAATCACTTCAGAAGAGAATAGTAGAAAATTCTATTTTGGAACTTCAGAACAATAACTCACAGAGTATCCCAGCACAAACATAGATAAAAGCGTAGCTAGATCAATTAAATTCGTCCTAATAGAGGCTAGAAGGCAATTTTTTTAATTTAATGTTTTTTTGTGAAGGTCCTTTTTCATAACTAGATTCTTTCAAAATGGCTACCTTGTTTTGACAACTATTTTTACTGATCAAAATCTCAATTTTGGGAAAAATGAGTTTGAAAATTTAAAGTGTGAAAACTTTTTTCATTTAAAATAAAAATTATCAGGTTTTCTCATTACTTTAAATGGTTGTAAAATAACTTTTGAAGTTGGTTTAATAATAAATTACCCTACCGCCGATTCTATATTGAATTATCAAAAAAATTAGCATTTTTTATTTTTCCATACAAACTTGAATAAGTAATCTGGCTTAAAATATCCAAATTACTTACAATTAGAAAAGTTTGGCTTTCACCCCGTGGCTTGGACGTCAATGCTGAAAAAAAAAAATGGTTACGGGAGAGATGTCTAGGCCTGGAGAGGTGACTTTCGGGGAGTACCAATTCGAGAAGACTAATGTTTTTGTATATCTTCGCTCATTGGTAACTCAAGACAACGCATGTGAACAAGAGATTCAGTGTAGGATCATAGCAAGCAGCAAATAAGTGCTATTTTTCTATGTGCAAGGCAGTTTCAGCTTTGACTTTATAAGATGACAGTGTGTCCAATCTTGCTGTATGTGTATGGTATGAGACTTGGACTACCTCCTAGATTGTGAACAGGAAATCCTAGTCTTTGAAAGAAGAATCCTCAGAAGCATATATGGTGGTATTCTCATCGAATGGAAAGTGAAAAAGGAGAAAAACCAGGAGCTGTACACCATGTTTAAGGAGTCCGATATAGTTCGAGTGATGAAAATTGCAAGACATTTTGAATAGATGGGCAGCACACGTCATTAGGATGGACTGTGAGGATCTACCAGGACAATTACTGATGGAGCGACTCTATGGTACCAGGAGAAGAGGAAGACCAAAGCTAGGATAGGCTGATGGTGTTGCTGCTGATGCAACAAATATGCTGTGGCTTCGGATTTGGATGGCAACTGCAGGGGACCAAGACAATATGTGGAAGCTGCTAGAGGAGGCCAGGATTCGACACCGGATTGTAGAGCCACGCTAATAATAATAATATTTCATTTTAATATCAATCAAAGTTTTTATTGAATCATTAAAAATTAACATTTTTTATTTTTCTATACGAACTTCAATAAGTATACTTATGGATATCTGGCTTAAAATATCCAAATTACTTACAATTAGAAAAGTTTGGCTTTCATCCTGTGTTTTCGTGGAGCAGTCTGATACTCCTGATCGTTTGATGTTATAAACGGACATGCAACCTTTAAAAATATTTTCTTCATTTATGAAATTTCCACACACTGTTTCTGAATTTTTGTCTTCAATTGAAGAATGGAGCTAACTTTAATAGTTGTAGGGTACTGTTTTTTACACTTTCACTGGGGAGACTTTAATCCTAAAACTTTACATATTATATACTCAGTGATGGTCATATTTGTCTGCAAATACTCAGAATGGTTTCAGTTTTCTAAGCAATAACAAACTTTTCGAAGGTATCACACCTGTCACTTTACGGAATATGATAACCAAATTTAACCTCAATGATAAACCTCTTATCATATAAAGAATTCTTCACAGAGGTAATATTTTTAGTTTCACACTTTTCAACTTTAGGATCTTAAATTTTTAAAATGGAGAGATGTGATCCCATGTGATGTGTGAGAGATGATTATTTCATATTCATCAGAGCCCTACAATAATTTGATAAAACTGTAGGGGATTATGGAATATGATAGTTAAAGTAAATGTTCGCTTCAAGTTAATCTATGGCTGTTCACTGACCTTCCTCTTTGATCTATCCTTGATTATTTTAATTTAGTGGTACTAGTGCGTGCAATATATACCGATTTTTAAGAGGTGGTCAGCTCACAAAAAAAAAAAAAATCATAGCTCGGTGCTTTTTCTGTTGATTGAAAAAAGTGTTCAAGAGTGAACTATTTGGGTTAACACACTCTTTTTTTGAGATATTGTTCAGGAGTTCCAAAATAGAATTTCTCACTAAGCTCCTCAGAAGTGATTTCATATACCTCATTTGACTATACTTCTGGGGAATGAGGTAACTCAGTGGAAGGGTACTGAGCTTCCAATGCTAAATGTCCCAGGTTCGAATCCCGGATCATGGCAGAAAAATTATTTATTTTGTTTCATTGGCCGTGGGGCGACCCTGGGTAGGAGGGCACACCCAGCTTCTTTTTTTTTTTTTTTGGGGTACTCCCCTTCCTCGCCTTTAAGGCTATACGGGGTTTTCCCGGGCCAGGGAGATTTCAAAGACACCCCCGGCACCGGGACACAAACTCGTGACTATATTTTATCTTTGTATCATATATCAGGTTGCAAGGCAACAGCGGTGCTGTGTACACACGTTAGCCCGTTCGGCCACCCCACCTCTTTATAGTGAGTATCCTTAATTAAAATAATTAAGGGAAAACAACCTGGCTGTTGAGCGTGATCTTGGTCAAATCACGTCCTTGCACAACCAAGGCCAAAAAAGAAGAATGGATTGTAGTAGTTTTTTTTACTTTATTTTTAATTTATCTGTATCTGGTGTTCGTGTTTTGGTGCATCTGTTGAGTCCATTACGTTACAGGATCGATAAATTGTATGTGAATTTACTTAGTGATAAATAATAATGGTGGTCTCAATTTCTTTTTTTGAGGTTTCCACGTTTTTTTCTGTTGTTATGACTTGGTATAATTCATTTAAACGAGTTAAAAGTCTGTATAAACATTGCACATTTAAATATAAGAATGATAGTAAATACCTGGATAAGATGCAATGCTAACATGCAAAAATCCCTTCTGTAAATAGGTTTTGATTCTTCTTCATCCATAAATACTGGTTGTCGAAAGTGGAAATTGCGCCAAGCTGCCAATAAACAAAATTAATTATTTTGAACCATATCATGAGAAATGATAAGTAAAAAAGACAATTGTATTAACTCATACATAATCATGATAATAAAACATACTGTTTGATTTAAGGAGGCACATTTCTTGTAAAAGAATTACTATGCAAATCTTATAAGGAGTAACATATTCAAGCATAGTATTTTTTAAAGAGCCTCTAATATTCCATACATCATTGTTGATAGGATCCATGGTTTAAATGAACCGTATTAATCACCAAAAATAAACAATCAAACAGATTTCCATAATTTGTAAACAAATTTAACAAGAGCAGACATCATTTTAAAATTTGAACCGGCAAAGCATAAAACCTCCACACAGTTTACTAGCTTGTCGTGCAAGTTCCTAAGCTCAGTGCTAGCTCTACCAATGAAATCCATCAAGCTATTGAATCTAGTATCGATGGACAGCGATTTATGGTACTTGGACAAGTCCCTAAACTCAGCGCTGATCTCATTGATGGCATTGGATCTGTTTCTCTGAATTGGGCTAAACAATGCCACCGATGACTGAAGTACTGAGTTTAAGAAATTGCCCTTTATTAATATAATAACATCGACTTATTGCATTCAAGCGAAGTTTTACTATCCTAGAAGATTAAAAGGCACATATAAAAATAAAGAAATACCGGTTTCATAAATCGGCAAAATTGTTAAAGGAAGTTAGTCCACTGTTCTACACGTGATAAATTGTCAAGACGCTGTCGTTTTTTAGGTTTTTAGTGTTGTCGATAAATATTTATCGAAATAAACAATAGAATAAAGTCGATAATTAAACGTGCATAGATCAACTTCCTTAATTCAGCGCTGAGCTCGCCGATAGCGTCATTCCGCTTAGTTAAGAGACGGATCCGATGGTATCGATGAGCTCAGCGATGAGTTTAGGAACTGGTCCATACTTGTTTGTTTTTAATTGATTACATTCAGTCCAGTCCATGTCAAAGCGACTTCAGACAGTTATCACTGACATGGAACTCAATGTTTTTATATGAATTTTTTTCCTCCAGCTTTCTATGTTAGTTTGTGGACGTCTTTTTCTTAATTTTAAAATGATTCAATTTTAGCTAAGTTTTTACTGGTGTGAAATACTATTGTTTTAAAAATGAACAGTTTAATTAATAAATTTATCACCTACAGGAAATTTTCTTTAATGGCCTGTTACCAGAAGTTATGAAAACAAAGCTATAGGGCCTCATTGGGTTGTCATGAATCATTAGTAATTGTAGACATACATCAAATGGAGGAATTAGCAGTTCATGATGAATTGCATATACCAAAAAAATACATGAAATTGAGCACTAGGGAAGATAGAATAGAAGCAATTGTTAACAAAAATTGGCTGAAGTGAGAAAAACTGACTACCAAATTGTTTCAAGCTAGCAATTTTCATAATGATAATCAAGAGCAAATAATGTCTAGAATTAAAATATATAATTTAATCTCAATTTGTTTTTAGGCAACTTAACAGGAGCAGGAAGATTCCAGATTTCATTTTACATGACAAATTGAGTGATGATGAAATATCAGCACTTTTCAAGCAAGGAGAACATTTTTCATCAGAATGGCAAAAGATCCTTGTATCTGTATGTTAATTGTTTCATATAAGTAGTTACAAAGGAAGAATTAATATTCTAATTGATTTGATTTTCCACAGGTCATTAAGAAAAAAGAAAGTCTTGTTATACCATTACCTAGAGTGAGACTTGGTGGCAAACCAAGCACTAAATTATCATTATCTCAGATATTACAGTATGTCTCACATACAAATTACAAGAATTTATGGAAAGAAGCCTTTAGGAAATATAACAGTATGCTAATTTCAATGTTTTAATAATATTAATTACATTTAATTTATTTTTATTGTCCCTAAACTTAAAAAATAAGTATTATAAAAATTATTCTTTCTACAGTTCTTTATGGTTGTGAAATTTAGTCGCTTACATTAAGTGATGAGTAACGTCTTAAGGTTTTTGAAGTATTGCGTTGAATATTCTGACCGAAGAAGAATGAATCTACCAGAGAATTTAAATGGTTACACATTGCTAAATTGTGCAAACTGTACTCTGTTAATATGATGTGGCAAATAGTATTTCTTAGTAAAGAATGAATTCCTAAAAAGTTAATATGCGCTGTACTGACAGGCAAGAGTCCGAGAGGTAGACTGAAGCGAAGATGGGAGGATAGCTTTAAGGCTGATCTCGTGGGGTTGGGTTTGGACGGTACCGGGTAGATGGAAGAATGTTGACAGCGATTGGTTGTATTGGCATTGAGCCTTCCTGTTCGCTAAGCTTTATTATTATTATTACTTTATTTATTATTGATGAAAGAGTGAGGTAGTCTAGTATGTAGAATACTAATTCCTTGTTCTTAATGAAAGGGTTTGAAATGTGGAATCCTGATTGTTTACTTTGGTCTTATATCACCTTTTTTTCACCGTATTGAGCACTTCTATTGTACTGAAGAGTGATGTATGATCCATTAGGTTCAGATCACCTACACTTGATAACTCCAAATTCACTCCAAGTGCTTTTAAACAAATTTTCAACGAAATAAAAGATTAAAGACGTGAATTGGTAAAGATATAGATGACAGATGAACTAATATACCTATAAGCATGATATTCCACATAATAGGCTGCATTGTGAAGCATTTATAAATAATAACACAGCTAGAAAACAAAGAATTGAAAGAATTTTTTTTCATGTGGATTGTTTAGTAATAATGAACGAAATTATGGAAGTCTGTTAAAATGGCTTGGACTTTATAAACTATTAATCTTTCTGCTGATTGTGAGCAGTATGAAAGTTGCCTTGCCTCTCTTCTTCACCGAATCCTTCTAGTTCCTTCTGTCTAGCCAAACAAGATGCCCCTCTAACAAATTTCAGCCTCAGTTAAAAATCTAACACGTTATTCACTGTGTTGTTATACATGGTAATTATGTAGATTGTTTAAATATTAAACTCTTTTCATCGCCACTAGGTCCTTGAGGTTTTGTGTTTATGTATCAGTGCCAATCATAATCTCTGACAAATTTTCACTAAACTGTCCTGTGGTGGCTGTAGATAATACAGATTTTCAACCATCCTCTTCTGTTGCTACTTTGCTTCATCCTTTCTTTGACTTGGAGGATAGAATTCATCCTGAAGTGTGAATGGGCCATATCCCTCAACATTATGCTTGAGAATTATACTTTCTGCTCTTAGAACCATTTCTATTCAAGTTGACTGACGTTCACACCCTACCGCTTCTCTACTCCTGTTGTTAGAGTATGATGAAAGTGGAATGTTGCAGTCTCTAGAGTGGGAGGTATTCTTGCAGGTTAAAGTGAGTGATGCCTAAAGCTATTGTGACAAGCCTGCAGCTCAGGTAGGAAAGGAGAATTTTTGTGAAAATTACATAATGAGCTTATTAATATATTATAATTGAATTAGATTAATGAGCTTGTGGTGGTGCTCTATGGTTGTTGGGGTAGAGGAATGTTATACATCTGATGTTTTAGCTTTTCTACTCTTTTGGAGATATGTGTTGTTTTGTGTACAACCTGTTAGGCTAGATTATGTTGATGATAGATGGTATAGACTTATTGAATGACCAACAAGTCTACCCCTGATCTGCTATTACTACTACCTCAAAATCAGAAGTCTTCATCATAATTTTATTGTCGATCAACCTGCTGCCTTCTTTTCTAGACCAAAAAATCTGTATGTACAACAGTATATTTAGTTGTTTTTCATTAGAAAATAACATTTCTTGTGAAATCTCTGATATGGTTGTCTCATCAAATATCAACTCTCAAGAAGTAACTTGTCTGAACTTAGGTGACATGTTCAGAGTTCCTTGTGCTATTTTTATTTGACACTATTGGTTACCCATCAAACACTAATACAGTGTTCCAACCATAATATTCATCGAAATATTAAGTGGTAATATCAACTCATATCGGAAGTTTTGATTTAGTTAGTACAGATACAATCGAGAAGAAGAATCGAATATTCAAACAAAGTAAAGTTTTTCAAGTTTTTATGACACAATGTATTAAATGTTTGTAATTGTTTATCTCAGAGGCTGAAATGTATTGGAGTGGTACTTCAAGTTGGGCTAGACTGGGGTTAGGTAAGAAGTTGGATGCATTGGAGTTTCCCTTCTGATTACATATAAATACACAAAGCTTGTTTAAAATGATTTGGCTAAAAATTTTTATATTATAATTTGGGCTTACTCAGAAATTCGGGGCATATTAAATATTAAAGACTAAAGGGGTTTTGGGGAGGTAGGGGAGATATAGCTTCCCTGAAACATTCAAATAAAAGGAATTTGAACATTATTGTGTTTTTTCTATTGTGGCCTATGGACAAAGTTTGAAGGGAAGTATAATTTAAAGATTAAGGGATATTTTAATGTTTGTCGTATTTAATTGTATTAATTCAAATCTACTTTTTTTTTTTTTTTTTAATTTACCTTGTGACCTTTGCCTATTGGAAAAAACATTTTTTTATATTATTGTATTTTTATTTTTGTGAATATAGTGTTATGGAATGCTATTGGAAGAAAATATGAAGTTAACTTTTACTATGCTTAAAGAATATATCATGTCTCGCAGTTTAATAGTTATTTATTTGCAGATTTGATATGTAACAGTTACCTAAGTAAAGTTAATAGATATTAATTTAAAGTGTGGAAATAGTTTAATCAGGTAATAATATAATTTGAATGATAAACAGGTGTTATGGTTCGAAAAGAAGAAGGAGATGATAATAGTGTTCAGTTGATGGAACATAGCTCTTTGTTAAGGGAAATTATATCAAGAACATATGGTGTACCAATTGTGAAAGAAGGTCATCTTGTTCATGATGTAGCTTATCGACCTCATTCAAATATTTTCAAGGCCTCTATTGTTGTTGAAACTAATAAGCACTTTTTTATTATTCATGTAAGTAGTTCAAACCTTTAAAAATATAATTTTTTTATTTCTAGTGTACTTTTTTCATGAATTTTTAAATTCTCGACTAGTTTTTACCTCATTGCTGATTAAAAAAAAAAAAATTGTTGTAGGAAAGCCATTGCCATTATACAGTTTTGGATTGTGTTACGTTTTCTCCTGCTGTGCTCTCTGGTACTTATTCTAAACCCTTATTTATTCTTTATCAGTTATTGCGACTAATGCGCCATCTCCACGATCTGGGTCTTGTTCTTGGTAGCATTACCTTAGCAGATGTTTACATTACTGAAGATTTGTGGATTCAGGTAATTACTAAATCATGGAGGAGATTTCAATGATTTAATATTAAATGGAAATTAGAAAATTACATTAATAACTATATTTGTTAAATTGTTTTTACTAAAGGTTTTGGAATTTCCATACCACCACTTTGTTTTAGGTTATGTTAGTGTTTTACTTTTTTATTTACTTGTTAGAGTTTGGTGACTGTTCTAAAATGAGGAAAACAGAAAAATCAAGCAAAATGACTTATATTATATAATTAAGCCTTTGAATAATTATTTATCCATTAATATAATTTAAATTAAAAAATGCTGTGAATTATATTACAGAAAGCTTGTTATATAGCTTTAAAAAAAAAAAATCCTGCTTTAGTTGGCCTTACTTTCAATAGAACACAGCAGATCTAGGACTGAGAGATCAATAAACATCCCCAATTCTAGCACCAGTACCGCCGTGAGACCGAAGATAGTAGGAACTAGAAATCACCAGGCTGAGATACTGTAGACCAGCAGAAATACAGGTAAACTGTGAGGGGTGAAAGGGAGTCGGTGAAAATCCTTAGCCGCAGTGAAGCTATTTAGGAAGTTTAGATACTAACACAAGATGGGAACCCATTGTCACTGAATAAGGGGCCTCCATCACTGGGCTGTACCTGTAAGGAGTATAACTGGTTCAAAGGAAATTATGCAGCCTCAGATTCAGACAGTCTAGCTGTTACAGACAAGTCAGAGATAAGAGAAAAATAATAATGATATGGATGTAATTTCTAACAAGTATAATAACATCACAAAAATTATGACAGAATCAAAAGTCTAATTACTTAATAGATATTCCAACTACAATACTCTCTAGGGGAGTTTGTGGAATCCCAGTGAAGTTGTGTGTTGAGTTCTTAATTATTTTTAAGAGTAGTTGTGTTGTTTAAAAGACAAATTCACAATTTAAAAGTGGTGCAATTTGTTTTCTATCAACTTTATTCCTTTTTAATAATTGTTAGAACTCTTTTGGGCTACCAGAATTATCAATGAAACTATTCATTAGTGACAACAATTTTCTATCAAAAATCTTTAACCAAATATTTTCCAGGACCAAAAGGGTGAAAATTGGTCTCCATAATTGACAAATATTTTTATAGATCTAGTAGCCACCTCAAGAGTTCTATTGATTACATTAGCTGGACAATTTGAAATAAAAAATGTCCTCATTCCTTGTAGTCTCAAATTTATTGCAACTTACACTAATTAGAATAGTTTATTACTGAGTAAGGAGAAACTGAAAAAAGAGTTTCAACCAAAACTCCATACTGCATACACCCCTCTGAAGAAGACCTGCAAAGTTGGGTCGAAACGGTTTTATATAAAATAGTTTTTTGCACTATTTTAGTCTTTTTATGGCCATCACTTTTCTTTTTTCCGGTTGGCTCTACAGTCCTTGTAATCTTTGGCCACCTGAACCAGCCTTCTCCACCTCTGCCTATCTTGGGCTACTGCTTTCCAGTTTGCAGCATGAAGCTCAGCTGTATCTTTATTTATCTATCTATCCATCTGGTTTTTGGTCTCCCATCTGGTCTCTTGCCTACTACTCTGGAACTCATTGTTGAGTAAAGGCCTGATGGATTGCTATTAGCTACATGTCCCGCCCGTCTTAACCTCCTTGCCTTCATATCATGAGATATTGACTGATCCTTTTATCATTTCTTTCAGCAGTCCTTTATTGTTCCTTCTCCTCCATGTGTCAAGGTTTTGGTCCCATATAGGTCCTGTTATCTTACAGTGAACTTGTCTTTCGAATATCTCAATTCTAGCTTCTAGTGTGCCGGTTAGAGCTCAGGTTTCACAAACGTACAGCATAATTGGCTTAATTACGGTGTTATACACCCTTATTTTTAGATTTCTGGAGATTTTTAATATTCTTGAAAGAGAGAAGAAAGATCTGTTCGCACTTGTTATTCGCTGGTCTATCTCTGTTAGTTGATCATTTATTGAGGTTATTGTGGAGCCAAGGTATTTGAATCTGTCTACTTTCGGGAATAACTTAGAGTCCACGTAGATCATATTATTAGGGTGGATGTTGTAGTTAACTATCATGTATTTTGTTTTATCTACATTACTTGTAGTCCGATTTGCTCTGCTTCTTTTAACAGAGTGAGTCTTTCAATATCCTCTTGATTATTTCTGAGGACAGCTATATCATCCGCAAATGCTAGGATTTTGTGTTTCATTCAGACGTGCACCCCTCCATCTTTGCGTGATGTTGTTCTTATTACTTTCTCTAGGGGTAAGTGGAACAGCATTGGAGTCCATCTCCCTGCCTCAAACCCGTTCGAACTTCCAAGGCTTCACATACTTCTTGTATTAGTACCCTACATTTAGGATCATTTGTACAAGCCTTAGTCAACCTCACTAACTTCCCGGGAACACCCAGCTCAGTCATGGTCTTCCAGAGACAGTTTCTATCCACGGAGTCATAGGCTACTTTGAAGTCGACAAATAACGCGTGCACGTCCTGATCTACTTCCCATCGTTTTTCGAGTACTTGTTTTAGGATGAATATCTGATCTAACATACTTCTCCCTTTCCTGAATTCTGTTTGATGGTCGCCTATTATGTTTTCATAATACGGATGTATCCAATTTAGCAGGATATTAGTTGTTATTTTATAGGCAACCGGAAGAAGTACTATGCCTCTGTAATTGCCACATTCATACATGGAGCCTTCCTTAAGGATATGAAAGACCAACCCTGTGTTCCAAGTTTCTGGTATTCGTTTCTTCTCCAATATCTTCTGGATTAGATCTAACAGCTGGGCTCTGAGGTGTTCTCTCCCATCCTTGAACAATTCTGATGGTAGGTTGTCTATCCCTGGAGCCTTTCTTCTTTTAAGCCTTTTAAGTCTCATGGATAGCTATTTCCACATCCAGAATATCTGGTTTTTCAACCTCAAGCGGGTCGATGTCCTCAGTGTGGTCCATATGTTCTTCATTTGTGAGATGCCCTTGATTAAGCAGCTGCTGGAAGTGTTGCTTCCAAATGCTTAGGATCTTTTCTTTTGATGACGTCAATTTGCCATCTTTCCCTCGCATTTGTGTATTTCTCGCATTATATTCTACCCTTTCTTTCTTGATATCGTGAAGAATTTGCATATATTTCCAGCCTGTCAGTTTTTCTCAATTGTTTGTAATCTTTCTTTGAGGAATTCTCTTTTTGCTGTTCTTATTATTTTGTTTGTCTTTTTCCTGGCGGCTGCGTATTTGTCCAACATAGCTTGGCATACAGCATATATATATGACCTTATTTGTTTCTAAACTGGCCATGCCTGAATTGGCAAAATGTTGACCGGTTAATTGTTTACCTGTTAAGTAAATTGAAAATATATATTTGACTTTCACAACTCATTATTTATTGTTAGAATTTTGACTTTAAGCAAATTATTGTAAATTATTATAGATTTGCATTTCAGGTTCTTCCCAGGCTTGAAGATAATGTTCATAATAGCCCTACAACTCTGAATTCACAAATGAATAAAGAAAAATCGAGTGATAAAACTGAAGTCTCTGCTGATCTTTATCGTCTTACAGAAGCATGGGTTATCGGAGCACTTTCTAATTATGACTATTTGTGTGAATTAAATCGTCTTGCTGGTAGAAGGTTCTAGAACAATTTATTTGTTGAAGAAATATTTATTTATTTCCTGTTATTTTAAAAATATAATGTGTTTAATCATTTTCAATATATTTTAGGTTGTGATAATAGTCACTAATTATGTGTATTTAACCTACAGGTATGGTGATCCAAGGAGTCATTATGTTCTTCCATGGGTAACAGATTTTAGCTCCAGATCAGGAGCTAATTGGCGGGATTTGGCTAAGTCTAAATTTAGGTTAAATAAAGGTGATCGACAGCTTGATTTAACCTATGAACTGCCACCAACTGCCAATGCTGCGCAGGTAAATCATTTATTTTGAAATTATTTTGAGTGGATGAAAAAAAATATTATTCTAGCACATAGAGCAAAGTTTATAAATATATTTCATAATAAATCATAGATCTTACTAGAATTGAAGAAATTATCATTTAAAATATATCCTTTATTTACAATATTATTTAATTTTTTTTCCAGATTCGTCATCATGTCCCAGACGTTTTGTCAGAAATTACTTACTATGTTTACTTGAGTCGAGTTACTCCCAAATCCATTCTTTGTAAATATGTAAGACCTCAATGGGTACCAGGTGAATATCCAGCTTCGATTCAACGCCTTCAGTCTTGGACTCCTGATGAATGTATTCCAGAATTTTTTACTGACCCCTCAGTTTTTAAGGTTCAGATTTTTGATATTGACAGATAAATATTTATTGTTTAAAGATCTTCTTGTTTTATGATTATGACCAATGAATTATCATTGGTACCATCAACATTTTCTCTTATTTCAAAAGAATTTTGTTTTATATTATTAACAAATATTCTTATGGGGAGCGAGGGTTTGGCTACTTTCTTCCATAAAAATTTCATCAGAATCTTCCCGGACGACTGTTTAATGTAGCCAAGTTAAGAAATTGAATTAACTTGCACCTTATCAAGAAAGATTGGAAGAGATATAAGAGATACCAGCCACTTAAGCATCTAACTAGTACTTAAATTTACTCTCATAAGTCCTAGGCTTTACTACTTTTATATAAAAGGGAGATTATTTCACTTTTCATAAATGAACTGTCAAACAGCTGTCAACAATTATTAAAATATATAATGTTCGTGAGCATTTTTAGAACTTTTTAATTCATGATTTAATAAATAATAATTTAATGATTTTTTTTCCAGTCAATCCATAGTGATTTGTGTGATTTAGAAGTCCCATCTTGGTGTAGTTCTCCTCAAGATTTTATAACTAGTCATAGAGCTGCTTTGGAGAGTCAAGCTGTTTCCGAAAAGTTACATCATTGGATTGATTTAACATTCGGTTTCAAGTAAGAATAAAGTTACTATTTTACTAATTCTTGAAAATTTTCTATTAAAAAAAAATCATATCCAATAAAAAAAATGGATGATAGAGTGCTTAACTTAATCCTGCAATCTTGATTTTTTAAATTCAAACATGTTAGAATTTTATGATACCAAAACTCCTTAACAGTAATTTTCAAGAAATTTGGAAAGTATTTTATGTTATTAAATTTTTTTGGAGCTACAGCAACTTTATATTTTATATGGTCCTGGAGGGAGAGGGCAGGGGATTAATTCCAGAGTTAAAAAGCCATCCCAACCCCCATCCCACCACTGGGACGTGAACTCGTAATTATTTTATCATATAAACTTTGGTTTCTCAGGTTGCAGGGCAATGCGTGTTTTGCACAGACATTAGCACTTTCTTCCACCCTGCCTCCATAGATTTGCAATCTGGTGATTTGAACAGAATCATGCTCAGTCTCATGGTTTTCTCTAACCAATTCATTTTGGTACCCAATTTATTGGATGGAGTTTTGTATTTATTTATTTGATATTATTTTATTATTAATTACAATATGCGTTCTTTATACACATAACGTCATTAAGTCTATCCTCGATAATTTCTGCACAGCAACTTATCACTTTTTTTATATATAGAACATATAATTAACCTATCCCAGTCAGAGGGTATCACCTCATCTGTCCATATAACAAGGAGGAGATCCTGTAGTGCTTAAGTAAGCTTATTTCCACCACATTTTAGGAGTTCAGCAGGGAGTTGAGTTAAGAAAGAACCGGGGGCCGTATTATTTTTGAGTTTTCTGAAGGCATCTGCAATCTTATCTTAATTAGCCGGTTCAAGATCCATCTCTTGTTCTTACACCTGTCTTCTATTAATTCCTTCTTCTTTGTGATTTCTTACTTCATCACTGGTACATTTTACATACTTGAGAAGGTATTGGAAGTAATTCCTCCATTTGTCATGAACATCAGACTTATCGATCACAAAGTTACACTTTTTATTTTTACAAGATTTTAATTTATTTGTATTATTATTTCTTCCCTTGTTGATCAATTCAAAGAAATTTCTACTTTCATTTGTTATGGTGTAGCAGTTCCATATTGTCCAGCCCCTCTTGTTCCTGTAATTCCTTCTTGCAATATAGCTGTTCCTCATTGTTCCTCTGTCGGTATACCATACAGTTGTCCTAATCATTGCTTTATACAACACATTCTTCCTGTTCTTGGATGCTCTGCATTCCTCTTCGAACCATGTGCCGACCTTAGTTCTTTTTCATATGGTCTTAGTTCTTCTTTCAGCTGCTTCAATTATTGCTGTATAACAGTCTGACCAGGATTTCTCAATGTCCAGCATCGTAGCTTCCTTGGTGTATTTTATAGTATGGTACTTCAGCAAAGTTATGCTGAGTTTCTGCATCCTTTAACTTTTTATGGTTGAAACTTTAGGGTGACTCAATAACTTTAGAATTCCTTATTGAGTAGATCTCTGCTGTCATATGTGCTGTACTCAGAAAGTGGTCCGAATCTTTATGTTCTCAAATTCTGTTGATTACTTCTATGGCATCTTTCTTTCAGGATATGTCAGTCTGGTTTACGACTGTCCATTACATTGGTTGTATCATGTAGGCTGTATTTTCCTATTATCAGCTGGTATATTGCTTCTTTTTCCACCTTGGCATAATATCTCTAGCAGTTACTTTCATATCATACCTAGGGCACGTATCCATAGTCCTTTCTAAGTGTTTATAAAAAGTATCATTGTCTTCACGAGAGATCTCTGTGGGGCATATACACTTAGTAGGTTAAGTATAAGTGGAGGCTAAGTTGTAAAATTTTGCACACAATCTTATTCCACACTTACTTACTGGTTTAAACTCTATTATCATCTTCCTGTAATTTCCTCTTATGACAAATTCTGTATCGAATTCATGTAGGCTCTAATGATAACTGTTCTAAATGGAATGATGCCTTTTTCTAAGAATTCCTTGACCAGTCCATCTGATCTGGATAGTGCCTATGTTAATCTTGTACTTGTCAAATTGAACTAAATAGTTTTAATGCTCTGGGTCTATATAGAGACAATGGATTTTCTTTAGTTAAATTAATTAAATTAGTACAAACAATTCTCATGATTAAAGTTGATTTTTAAAATTTGTTTACAAAGAAGTTATTGTTAATCTTTTTTTAAATTTCTTACAGTTAGCTCCCTTAAAAAGTGGAGTAGGACCCGAGGTGGATTGCCCCCTCTACTCCTTAAGAATAAAAAGAAATATAATTTATGAATTTTATTATTATTATTATTTTTTATCCTTGATCATTTTATGTGTTAATTTCTGTTGTTATGTTATTTAGTTAGTCTTTACTATTTTTAACTTTTCATTTGTTTAACCAATTTAATTACTTTTATTATATTTGAATTCATGGCTTTGTAATTATTGTTAATAGTATCTATTGTGCTTTAAAATCCAAAAAAGTATGCGGGATTGTGAATTTCATTACCTTTAGCAAGAAACATTAAAATTATGTTTATTTTGATATTCAACTATTGGCAGACAATGTAATCTGAATGTTATGTTTAAGTCAGTTAACAATGTGATCTATATTAATTAATAGAAAAAAGTGGACTTTAAGAGAGATTGATGCCTCCTTACTATTTTACCCAAAATCTGTTATTTTCAGTATTCCATGTGCAGTGTGATTATGTGATCTTGATGGCATTTATTAAATATTACCAAATATTTGTCTTTTATGTAATTAGTTGGTTCATTACTCAGAAACTAATTTTAGGCCTGTAAAATTAATAATTTAATCTATTGCAAGACCTAGTTTTTTCCATAATTTATTGATTTTTTTACCTTTTTAAATTTGTTATTAGTCTTGTTTGTTTTTTAATCAAGGCTTGCTGGACCAGCGGCTGTCAAAGCTAAAAATATCTGCCTGCAACTTGTTGATGGACATAAAGTACTCAGTGGAAGTGGAGTTGTTCAGTTATTTACTAATCCTCACCCGCAGAGGTCTAGACCTTCTCTTTATCTTCGGAAAACTCCTCCCAAAATTCATCAACCACGTAGGAGTATGTTTCTCTTTATATCAAATACTTATTAAATAATTATGATACTATTATTATTTTTTAAATGTATTTATGGTATGATGGATGTTTTTTACTCATTTTTGATGCCATGCAGGTCTTGAATGCTTATGATTGAGTATTTTGATGACAATATTTTTTTTATTGTTTAATATTACATTATGTCCACACCAGAACTCTTGCATTCTAATATGTCCATAATATCTTTAAAGTATAAGGGATATTCATATAAACAATATACTATTACCTGTTACCTCCTACTTCATTCCCAAATGTTTCATATTATCAAATATCTTAAACATTTTAAATATCTTGGTTCCGTAATTGAAATAGATGGTGGTGCATGTGATGTGAAAAGAAAAAGAAAAATTTCAGATGGCAAAAAGACCATATCAATGCTCAACTCGGTGTATGGAACCGGAACATTTTCCCAAAACAAAAAAAAACATCTACAATAGTATAGTACTGAGCATTATGACATATATGGGTCAGGAAATTGGACCATAAAAAGCAACCTCAGGAAGTAACTTCTAGCCACCAAAATGGACTACTGTAGACGAGCAACTGGAATATCCAGAATGAATAAAGTGAGAAATACAGCCATCAGAGAAAACATGAAGGCTAAAAGATCCATTCTGGAAGAGATTGAGAAAAAAATGCCTGAAGTGGTATGGACATTTGAAAAGAATGCCTCAAGGAAGACTACCCAAAGAAGTCCACTTTTGGAAAACTTGGGAAAGAAGAAGAAGAGGAAGACCTGATATAACGAAGTCGAGGAATCCATGATGGGTCATGGTCTACGGGGAGAATGGACCTTAGATAGGACATTATGGAAAGAAGCCATCCAAGCACTTTAGATTAAGGAAACCCACTATTAGTGGAACCTCCTAATAAAAAAAAAAAAATAATAAAATAAATTTACCGACAGTGTCAGAAACTTTGCAGGTTAATATATTCCATGTAGAATCGGAAATTTATCATTGAAAAGCAAAAAAAAATTATTTGAACCATCCCGTCTGGAAACTTCCATTTATCCTCAAAAGATAATTTATAATGTTAATTAATGGTAGAGGTTGTGATGGCCAAGCATGGTAAATCTTAAACTTTAATATTCTTGAGCCTAGCAATGCCGATTCAAATCCGGCCTGGGCAGGTTGTTCTTTGCATTAATTACTATTTATTATTTCCTTGCATTTGTTTAATTCATTGCAGATACACGGAATAATTCTTGACCGTCCCACTCTGGTTAGGATTGGTTTGGTTATATTCTACATGGAATATATATTCTAGGTGGAACTGTGAGACCCAATAATCCGGGAGGACCCAAGTGGTTTTATTTAATTTAATGGTGTGTGAAAAATCACTCATTGCCAGTTCAATTCGTGATATGTTTATTTATTGAAACCCTACTATGTCTATTAGGCAATAATGGTATTTGGAGTAGTAAGATTTCAAAGATGTCTGCATAACATCTCACTACTGCAAGTAAAGGTTATTTGTCTGTTCTTAAATCATCTTTCTTGAGTCAAGCTTTCTCAATCCGGTGGTCTTCCATTAGCTCCTCTTCTTGTGAGATTGAAATTGACTAGATCCACCTTTGCTTTCCATCTGTACTCAAAATTTTTGTGGTATGGATAGTTTTCTACAGTGACTAACTGAAGAAAATCATTCTCTGTGAGAATATAGAGACTGGTTTCACTTATTAATTCAGCCCTTACTTCTTCGAAGGTGTTACAGTTGGCTAAGATGTGCTTAGTATCTTCTAGAACACCGCAGCTAGGCCATAAAGAGTTGATGTCCATCTCATGATCTGTGACTGATGTCCTTCTTCCCTTTTAATATATATCCAGTATTTTTAGTTTCATCATTTCTTATTAAGAGTTTTTTGGTCTGCGCTATGGGACCCTCTTATTAAGAGTTACATTATAAAATCTTTTTTCCTCCAAAATATGTAGACCTGAAGTAAAACCATCTGTAAAAAAAATAAATAATAATAATTTAAAAAAAAAGAAGGAAAATACAGTATAACTTTCTTTACTTCAAAATAACACATACAATTAAAACTTTAAATAAAAAAAAATTAATAAAATTAATTTTAACTAATTAAAAAACGAAATATTGTAGGAAAGTTGTGTTCCATTACACAAAGTTACTAATTATGCTATAATATATATTAGTTATTATTGATGTTTTATTAATAACTTCATTTTTAGAATGCAGTGGTGATGAAGAAGAAGGTCAAAGTTCAGGACTTGAAGAGGAAGAACAAATGTCATCAGCTCTTTTATTTTCAAGATTTATTAGCCGTTCAAGAGCATCACTTGTAAATATTTTAATATCAGATTTTATAAGTTGTAAATTTTAATTTTATTATATTTTTGAAAATTAAATTCTTTATTTGTACTTTTTCACTCAATTTTACTGTGCAAAACCTTCATACCTACACCAATACAACCCAGAGAAAATGTTGGGTTTAGTTTTATGAAAAAATGTCCTTAAAAAGTGGTTATTAAAAATAGGTGATCTGATCTGACCAAGATTGCACTCAACCTCCATATTTTTGCTCTATCCTTTGATTGATTAGGAATGTTCCACTTCATAGAAGTTGGGTATCTCCTAGAAGGGTTTCACAACTTGGAAATCAATCTATTGGTGCCATAGCTGGGAACTCGCTGAGCTACCCTACTCTTATAAAACATTAATAACCATCATATAAAATTTCAAATCAAACAGGACCGCAAAATTGTATTTTTTAAGGATCATATTTTTATAAGATCTTGTGAAAACAAGTAAGATCGTAAAATAAATTGTTTGACTGATTACTATACTTCCTCTACCTCCATCTTTCTTACTATTACATTCAAGACTATAACCATTACTTGATAATGCGAAAGAACTAGATACTAGAAATTGAAATTTAGTTATATGATAATTGGACTCCACAAATGTTTGAAGAAGGAAGCCTGTAACATGGGCCAACCTAAACTTTTGAAATTGAATAAATATTTAATAAATTTTATGAAGAGATAAATAAAGTTCTACTGTAAGGAAGAACTAACAGTTTAATTATTAGATAACATTATGCAGATAAGTATTCACAAACAAGTTCTAATTCAGTATCAGTGGCGGCCTTAGGGTGGGCCTACTGGGGCAATTGCACTTATTAGAAAAAACAAAAATAACAAATGTATTTAACAATTAATTTTAGCCTATTAATAAAGCAACTGTTGATACTAGAGAAATGTTGCATCAAATAAAATTCAAATATTACATAATATAAAACAGCCTAAGAAATAAATTAAATTATTTTAGGAGAGGGAGAGGGAAGAAGACATCATTGTCCTGGGGCGCCGAATGTACTACTCAGTATAAAGCATTAGCATGCATCTCCTGCATTATCCTGGCAATACTTTGCATCAATATTTGAGTTTATTGAACAACAATTTTACTTTCTTGTCAAGATTAAATTTGTTATTTTGTAGCGTTATAATCTATCTTAATTAGTTTTATATATTTATTGTGCCCATATAATGGATGTTATACTTATTTTAATTGACATCTTATTTGTCTTTTCTAATATATTTATTGTTTTCAGTCTTCACCGTCCAATACGATTGCATCTGATGCTGAAAAAACAAATATTTCATTGCCAAAAGATTACAACCCTGTTGAAGCAATACTTACTGTCGAATCTCTTCATAGCTTTATGGGAAGAAGTAGTATGCCTTGCCTTAACAGAGATCAGAAGGTGATTGGAGAGCAATATGTCAGTAAGCATAATGAACGATGCCGTCAGGTTCTTGCTAATACTCGGGCAACTGAAATGCAGGTATTAGAATATTAGTAAATTAATAGAATATGTTAATCAACATTAAATTTAAAAAAACTAATATTTATTGTGTTATTGTTTTAGAGTTTAGGTTGTTTCTTAGTTGAATTATTTTTACCTCAAAGAGTACGTGTATTTGGAAATGGTTTAAAATCTATATCACATGAGGAGCGTTTGCAAATTGCACGATCTATTCTTTCTGGACCTGAGTCCTTACCTAAGTGTATTGCACCACTTGTAAAATTGTTAATTGAGGTTAGTAATATTGAAGAAATTGTTGTATAAAACATATTTATGAATAAATCGTAGCCTTTGACGAAAAGAGTTTGTCAAGTTTTCTATTTTCTAATTATGTTGCTCTGTTGATATAAAAGAACAAAACAAGTATAAAGTAAAGTATAATATATACAAGTTAAACTAACAATATAAAAGCCCCTGTACAGAGTGGTATCAGGGAACTATAAAGGTTGGGCGCTCTCAGCTGTTTTCGCGTAGTTTCCAACCCTTATTTCTCCTTTAGTTGCCAATGAATTTTCTTCATTCATTATATTTAACCATTTTTTATATCAGTTTCCAATGTGAAATGGTTAATTATTTAAAATAAAATTAAAGGTATTTTAGAGGAAGTAATTTTGAAAATTAGGCATTTAAACACTGTTATGTTGTTCACATACATAATATGAAATGACTGCTCACATACATACACACACACAGACCATTTTGCAGGACTTTCGTTAATTGAACTCAGGGAACCTCAGAACATGTATTTCCATTGGAAACTCAGATTTTAAAATTTTCACGATCGCAATACTTTCCCTTACTATTTATCACATATATAGGTAAGCGAAAGTAAAAATAAAATAAATAATACTCCTTTTTCCATTTTGATTAAAACTTTTTATTCTTGTTTGTTAATTATTTCCTTATTATTTGAACAACTCATTTATCTTTTATTTATTATTTTTGTTTCAAATTCAGTTGATAGTTTATGTAAATTAATTATATGACTGTAATGCAGTAATAATTGTCATTTCAGGATAGGGTTACCGAAGTTACCCAAGTGGGTTCACCTCCACCATCAGCACATCAGCTTCTACAACCCTTATTAGCTCCAGTCCATTTTCCCCGCCAGTTTTCACTTCTTTACTCTACTTTGGAGTCTCTACGTAGCTATTCTACTGCTCTTGCTGATTTATCTGCTGAAGACGATCTGTTGCTTATTTATAAAATTGCAGAAGTAAAGGTAATAAAATTCATAACGTAGGCTCATTTTGACAGCTTCTTGTTAAGTATTTTTCTTTACTTTTTAAAGTTTTTCTTTATAAAATTACCAATGATATTTTCTTAATGCAGTTACTGAAGAGTTAAAATATTTATATATAAGAATATGTAGTTTATTAATTTAATCTTTCTCACTTCTGATTACCTTATGAGGTTTTAATGATAATTTTTTTTTTTTCAAAAATACCAGAAACAAACAATTTTATTGGAATAATGCTTAGTTAGGTCTCTTCTCTTATATATATCTTATACATAAATTTAACAACACATCAAATAGTTATTTACTGATTCAAATAGCAATCTTGCTGATCCTTTTATTATATATTTTTATTTTTAATATGAGGGATAAATTTTTAATATTCAGGTGAAGAATCTTTCTACAAAGATAGAAGAATTGGTGGAATCGGAAGTTTGTCTTGGTATTTTGATGCCATATGTAATTGAGATGCTCAGTTCTCCCCTCACTGACGTCCTGGCAGCATGGTACCTCTTTGATCATATTGCTAGGTAATAAAATTTAATGCTGTTTTTTTTTTTTTGAAATTGTGTCAAAATACTTTTAGATATTAATGTTTTTTTCTTTCTAAAATCAACTTTGGAAGCCTGAGAAGCTACGCTAAATTTTATATTACCAAGATGTACCTCACTTTTTAAAAATTTATTTATTTATTTTTTTAACTAGGTATGCTTTTTTAAAACTATTTAAAGAAAACATACGTTACCTCCACTGCATCGGTGTAAAAGATAGCCCAACATGCCCTCTTTGTTCCTTAGACAGGAGAATATCTTGATACATGACCTGCATTACAGGACATAAGATGTTCCTTTAATGAAATGGACAGCCCTTATGCTCGGAGAGCAAAACTGTATTGGACTGCAAGAGCACGCATGGCTAACGAAGCAGGCGTTACTTAGGCTTATGAAAAAAAAAAAAAACTTTATTTTAAATTATGTTTTATCAATTGTAATTATATTCTTTCTTCCAAAAGTAAAAATATGTAAAACATTTTCCTACAAGCTGATCTAGATTTATCAACATATACTTCTCCAAACAAATCGTCCACTCAAGTCAGCTTTAATAAGCTTAAAGATTTGTTCCTGCACTATATTCGTAATGACTGCAAACAGTATTTGTGGGAATCTAAGTTATGCATTAGGAAATTTTTTTTTCAATTCCAGAGCCTTGTAACAAAACAGCTGGGCTGATTATAAACATACTTCACGGGATTTCTTTTCTGACTTATGTGATACATGAAACTTGTTACTGATATTGCTTCATTAATTCTATTGAAGATATTTGGATTCCAACATAGGAAATCTCTGTCATCTGTCCCTGGGCATATCACCTTTAAATTTTTATAGCTGATTTTTAATGGTAGATAATTTCTTAAGGCTGATGTTTAAATCAATTTTTGGTTTAAAAAATCTGTTAAATGGATTAAAATGTCTATTTTATTATCGATCCTTCTCCCTTGGACACTAACTGGGGTTTTGCTCAATACTGCTACTTTCCTTTATTCTTTCTTTATGTCCTTTGTTTTTTGAGCTATCTCCAATCATTGGATTTGACGAAGAATTAACATGCATTGACAAAAAACTCCTTTGAAAAATGATATATAGATTTAGTTAACGATTTTTGTATGTTATAAACTCATAATATCTACATTTTACTGTATGCTTTCTTTCTGTTATGGATGAAAAAAAAAAAAAAATAAAGCAGAAATATACATGCTTGAATCTAAGTTTCTGAATTTAGGCTTTTTCATTTTATCAATCAATAGGATGTAAAACATCATTCAATTTATTTAAGATTCAATCGCCAATAATATTTATAGTTATTTTACTTTTTTATTTATGTATCATATTTTTGTGTTTGAATAGAGCCCTTGGTCCCAAGCGTTGCAGGCATGAACTTTTGGAGGTCATTGTACAGCTATATGATTGGGAAAAACCTCGAGAAAGAAAACTTCTTCAGAAAAGAGTAAAGCTTTACCATAGATCCTTCTTAGTCACTTTGATAGTGCGATTTGGATTATCAACTTTTCTAGATGTTTTTGTGCCACTTATAGCTGAAGCTGTTGGTGGTTACCATGATCTAGATGAAAATATACATACTCATCTTAGGTATGCTTTACTTGTTACTCTATTTTTGGTAAAACAATTATTTGTTAGTCATAATGAATATTTGTTAATTGACTCTATAGGGTAATGGTTCAATCCTCTTTAAAGACTTGCAAAGTTAGTCAAAACATTGGCTTTCAATAGAATATTTTTTTTACTATTTACGATTCTCTTTTTTTTAACAACACTACTGGCCTGACAGGCACAGTGCATATGTTTATAAGAACGTCTTTTAAAATTTATTCCTTGTATAGTTCTTATTGTAAGTAATAATGCAAAATATAAAGTTGTGATAGTAATGGCTTCAATGTCATAAACATTGAACAACAATAAACATTGAAGTTTCATCATCATTAATTCACCACCATGTATATGTTAATTATTTCAACAGTGCTAATCTTGCTTTTGATGAAAAATATGAATACAGATTTGAATAAAGATTCACAAAATAAGTTCTATGTAAAGAAGCTTCAGCTTTTAAACTTCACTTATGTTAGTATTGGGTTGGAAAAAAAGCCCTTTTAGTTTTTCTGTTTATTTTGATGTCACTATGATACACTTCTTATCTGATGAATTAATCTCTAAGGTGGATTGTTTATCCTGTTTGTAATATGTCAACAATCATATCCTTTAACTCTTGTTGAAACTTGCTGAGTATTGTGTTTGCAATTGCAATGTGAATATGGAAGAAAATATTCATTATCGGCATGTTTTACGAATTGTGAATTGTTACGAATTGGAATACCGAATGGTGGCAACTGTGTATGATGGTTTATTGAAAATAATTTAAAAACTTTAAATGATCTAAGGGATTGAACAGCACCACCACAGTTGTAAAACAAAAAATCAGGGTGGTGTGTGCATCACACAACTTTCATCTACCATCCTTTTTTTTTAAAATCAGAAATAGGTATTTTCAAACAAAGGGAAATGGAAGTAGATAATATATCAGGCTTTTAAAAATATTTATTAATGGAAGGGTTGAATGAAGTGGTATAAGTCATTTTCATAATAAATAATTAATTGATTTAGTGCGTTAAATTCATACTTTATGTTTTGACTTGAGTATCCGCAAAAAGAAATTAATGTTTTAAAGAATTATAAAGTTCATTAGTTATGCCTTAAAATTTGTTGTTTCTCTTTTAAAGTTAATTTATGTCATTTTTACTCTCTATCATAGTAAAAATATCAACTGTGTTCTCGTTTAGCATTGAATTCGGCAAGAATTTCCTCTCAAGCCTTTTTTGTTTTGGAATTTGAAACAGTATCTGTATCTTTATTTTCTATAACATCAGCTTTTTCGAGAACTAGAGATGTGAGGAACTGTAACTCCTCTCCACAAAATCTTTTTCTTTTTATATCATATAATATCTGAGTTCTTATCATAACTAATCTATATAATAAGAATATTTAAAAAAATAATAACAATAGTTTATTATATTGTAACATACCTCTTATATTTTACAAATAATAATAATATTATAACCTCAGAAGATCACTTTATACCCTTAGGATACTTCCAAATAAATAAGAGGTTGTTAGATAACAAACAAAATTAAAAGAATATTAATATACTTATTTATCTCAGGTGTGTGTTATTGACAATCAGATCAGCTCAGACAAATTATTATTATTTACACTATTTATACTAAAATTAAACAATGATTGATTTTAAAATAAAGTCAAATATGGATTGGCAAGCTAGCCTTTTTCTATATTATATGTTTCTTCCTTTGTGACACTGAACTCATTTGCCTTCAAACACTTTCCAAAGTTCTGCCAAACAACTCTTCCAAATTGGTAACACTATTACTGGGTTTTCCCACTGGAGCCAGGATCACTTCTCCTATCCTCTCTTCACTGCAGTCACACAACAGCAACTGTTTGCCAAAACAAAAACCTTTGTCCCTCTCCTCTTTGGGATTTTCCTTCTTGAGAAACTACAGAGAAGCCATTTTCTTTTCTCTGCACTAGTAGAACTAGATTAGCTTGCCTTTTAATTGTTCAACATTAATATAATAAAACCTTTTTACTCACTTCTAATAAAGGTGTACATTACAATATATTTGAACAGTCCAGTTACCTCCTTTACTTACTGGATGTTTAATCGATATTTTAACATGTTTTCTCGCCAATGTTGTATGAAAAGATGGAGCAGTTATGTACCATTATTTGGCAAGTATCAAACTAATTCTATGAAGTGGATTGAAGAAAATAACGCTCTCAATAATTTTTTTCTTTTTTTAGCTTTTAACCTACCTCTTAAATATTCAAAAAATAGTTTGAACCAAGAAGTTTCATTACACTAGATTTTATGTAGGTATAAGTATAATAATAACAAAAATAATAATTTTAGAAGTATAATAATAGCAAAAATAATAATAATAACACGATGATTATATTTTCTATCAGTTAAGTATAAGTTGTAGTGAGTAAAGGTGATTTTAGGGAATGATGATGGGCTCTCTATCTCTCCTAAATGTCCCCTATAGTAGAAGGGGACTTTGAAGAGGTGGACTTTGACCACCAGGCTTTTAACGACAATAAGGGAATAGTGGAGTATAAGAGATGACTATGCATACCACCATAACAAGAGGGACTTTTCAAGAGGGGCATCTGGGCCGGAACAGGGACGAGAGAATTTATCTGGGCAAAGAAATGAGTCCAGGTAATAAGCATTTATACTGGTTGGCAAGGCAGAAAAGGGCGTCGTGTATGCTGAGATACGTATGGTTCGCTGGAGGAAAGTTACGATGCAGAAGACAGGATGGATCCCCGGTCATCATCGTCAACAAAAAGGAAGACATTGAATTGCTGGAATGAAATAGGTCTCACTGTTCCCTCCAACCTCTTTTTTATGAATATCTTTTATTTTATTTTTATTTTTTAAACATGTTATTGGTCTTTTTTGTTCCTATAGTTCATAATAATTTATTCTATTGCTTATTAAGTATTTTTTTGAAAGATAAAATTTTCTTATTTTACTTCGAATCAGATTTTTTCTATGCTCACCTTCATTTAAAGATTTCTAGTAAGATCTATATCAATATAATGTACATAATTTGTTATTATATCTCATTATGTAAGTTTAACAATGTGCCTATTCCATCAATATTAAAACCATTTTGTCACACTCCGCAGATTATCTTTACCCTGACCTCTTCATGACCAATACCTTAATATCCTGTCACATTAACTCCCAATCCCTTCTAACACATTATGACGAATTCCTTGATTATTTCACCATAACTTCCATCATATCATAGTCGTTTCAGAAACTTGGCTCAAACCTGATATTCCCTCCCCATCCGTTTCCTTACCCAACTATACCCTCTTCCGTCATGATCGAATGGGACGAACAGGTGGAGGTGTGGGATTGTTCGTACATGACAGTTTGACGGCCAAAGCCTTCTAAAATCTCCTCCTTCAGACGTCCCTAACATAGAATATCTGTTTGTTCAGATTTCCTTTAGTACCTTTCCTCTACTCTTTATTGTTATTTACCGACCTCGTGTCCGATTCGATCCCAATCTCGAATCCTCCCTCCTTACATATATTCCTCTCTACGAAAATATTATTATTGCTGGTGATCTCAACACCAACCTCCTTTCAAACACTCCGGACAAAACATATCTTACCGACCTAGTTTTTTCCTTAGATCTATTTATTGTACCCTTTCAACCCACCCTATCCTCTGATACTTGGCTAGATTTATTTGTTATTGATTCTCCACTTAACCTATTATCCTCTACGCAAATTCCAGTTCCCTTCCTTTCATCCCACGATCTTATTGAAATAACATACAACTTCTCTACTCCTTGACCTAAACCCAAACAAATTTCCTGGAGAGATCTAGATTCCTTAACCACTGAAAACATCAGCCCCTTCCTCGATTCTCTTTCCCCTTGCTTAGAACCCATCTATTCTCTCTCCTCCATCGATGATATGGTTGAATGCCTTTCCTCCAACCTCCTCGATTTCCTCAATCGTCATGCACCTCTAAAAACACGTGTCTTTAGACGTACTCCCGCTCCTTGGATCAATACAGAAATAAGAGAACTAATGAGGAGAAGAGAAACTGCTAGAAGACGATACAGACGTACTAGACTAACTCAGCATTATTCCACATTTAAATCCCTAAGAAATCTCACACAAATGACCCTATGTCGCGCCAAAGCCCAATACTTCAATAACGTTTTATCCCAAGAACCTAACCCTAAATTCAAATGGAAAATCCTTAAGAATCTCTCTATTGTTACCTCGAAAACCTGCACACAGTATCCAATTGATCCCAACACGCTAAATTCTTTTTTCACTAACCATTTTCTATCCACATCTCCATCTGACCACTCATCTTTTTCCATTACCGAAACCCCCTTTGATCCTGATAAGTTTTTCCTTCTGACCTGCTCTCTGCCACCCTTAAATCTAAAACGAATGATTATGGTCCTGACCAAATACCTGTTAAAGTTATCAAACTCTGCCTTCCAGCTTTACTACCTGCACTTCTACACATATATAATTTCTCTCTCCAAAATTCCATTTTTCCCAAATCCTGAAAAAGAGCCATAGTCCGTTCACTGAACAAAGTTCCAACTCCTTCATCAGCTTCCGACTTCAGACCCATCTCCATTCTATCCAATCTATCTAAACCTCTAGAAAGATTAGTTCACTCTCAGTTGAACAGCTTTCTCGAGCAAAACCATCTCCTCAACCCCTTACAATCTGGTTTCTGTTCCCAGTATTCCACCCAGTCTGCCTTGCTAAGGATTACCCAAGACCTCCAATCTGCCATAGATAAACAGAAAATCTCCTAATTCTTTTTGACTTTTCCAAGGCGTTTGATTCCGTTAATCATGAGATCCTTCTTTCCAAACTCCAAAGCCTGCCCATGTCAAATAGCGTCCTAAAATGGTTTCTATCCTTATCCAATCGATCTCAGACAGTTACAATACTGAATAAACCTCCATCATCATCATCACTTCAATTAACGTTAGGTGTTCCTCAGGGTTCCTCACTCTCCCCGACCCTTTTCTCCATCTATATTAGTGACCTTCCTAATGCCATTGAACACTCCAATTACCACCTATATGCCGATGATTTCCAAATATACCGATCATTCTAACCTTCTGAGATGCTTGAGGCTGCCCGGAGGCTACAAGAGGACATCGACTGCATCAACAGATGGGCAGAAATAAATGAATTAAAGCTGAATGCAGATAAAACCAAGGCTATTATCATCGGGTCCAGACATCTCATCAGCTCCCTTCCTTACTTTCCTCTACTTTACCTCATTAACCATCCAATCCATTTTTTCCCTACAGTCAAAAATCTAGGAGTAACCTTTGACCAGAACCTCTCCTGGAATAATCATATTTCCCAGATTACCTGAAAATCCATAACTGCCCTTAAACAACTCCTAAGATTCCGTGATTGTATTCCTCTAAAAATCAGTCAGCTCCTTGTAACCTCCCTTGTATTCCCCCACTTCGACTACGGCTGCTTGGTGTATGGAGGGCTATCTGCCAGACTGGAAATGAGACTAAAAAGACTCATGAATTGTTTCATAAGATGCATTTTCGGGATCCCCAGACGTTCATATGTTTCACTATGGTACACTGAGTTGAAGTGGCTTTATCCTACTTCCCGACGACAATTCCTTCTTGGTGCTTTCCTTTTCCAAGTCTTCAGAACCAAAAACCCTCCCTACATCCTGGAACTCCTTACTCTGCGCTCCTCTATCCACTCTCTCAATACTAGGTCTCAACCTATAGACTTATATATTCCCTCCCATAAAACTTCCTCCTTCAGCAAATCCTTCATCATTCGTGCTGCTTCCTTATGGAACTCACTTCCTACCTCCATGTGTAAATCCTCATCCACAAATTCCTTCAAACAACTCCTGTTCCAACACCTACTCCACATTCAAACTTCCTCTAACATGTAAAATTACTTGCATCTATACAATGTTTAATTTCAATCCATTGCACAATTGAAATAACAATTAACAATAAATTAGTTGATATTTTTATTATGTCAGACTAAGATACATAAATTTGTAACTCAGTTATTATTCTTAGGAGACAGTAGTCCCAGAATAAAATTATTTTTTCATTTCACTTGTCTCATAATTTTGACTTGAGCTCGCTTCATAGCTGTATAGAATAAAAATTGTAGGTAATTTTTCCGGTTTAATTATTATATAATTGAATATAGTTTAGTAAATATAATTAGAAGTTATTCAAATAATCATAGGTTTTCAAGTTATGAGTGGAAAAAAAATTTCTTTTTTTTTAAATATGGAAATAATTCCAGATGAAAATGTTGGAATCTGTTATGAGTACCTACTCTAAAAGATGTAAATGAGAAAATCTTCAGAATTTCTCCAAAACTTTCTACTAAAACCCTTTTCCGGGTCGCATTTGTCTGAGCCCCATTAAACTGATGAGTGAATGATCATTAGCAATATTCCATAAAAAAAATAGTAGATTTTTTATCTTTTCTCTTATTCTTTTATTTTTTATATTTCTGGACAAAATTTGTGAAAAGGTGGTGAATTTGAAATTTGTAGTCATTGCATCAAAACCTATCTTGTACCTATTCGACTTAGCCCATATAGCCCATACGAATTCAGTAATAGTCATTACTGGATTCGTATGGACTATATCCACAATCCCAGCATATTAGTTATATAATAACTTGTGTTTTTAGTATACAACAAGTGTGTTTTTGTAGATATAGAGTGAGATTGCATTTAATAAATTAAAATTCTGGCCTATACAAAAATGCTAATAAGAGGAAGCTTAACTTCAAATCTGTTGTTATAGTAAGTAACTGTTTTCTCCTCAAAAGTGAAAGATTATTAATATAAATGAGAGTTAGCTGGTAGGATATTTTATAATTAATGAATTTGTCAATGAATACTTTCTGACTGACATGTTCTATGTAGTAATTAGTAATAAGTAATTTTATTTGTTTTTTAGTATTAATCTTGATTTTTATTTTTGTAAATAAAAGACACTATTGTTTATTTAATTTCTATTAGTTGCTGTGATGTAGAAGAAGGAGTTGAAGCTGATAGTTGTATGCCTTTGTCTCCGTTAGATGAAGACTCTTCTGTTGAATCTGAAAAAACTAACCAAAACACTACTAATAAAGAACTTAAGTCGGAACCAGGTTTTTATCTTACAAATTTCATACATAATGCTCTGCTTATATTCAGCTTATTGTTGTTATTCGATTTTTTTTCAGAAACAGCCTATTCAGAGGAAGACTATTTAGAAGAGCCTTCTAAAATGGGTCCTAAATCAGCTGTTTCATTGCAGAATTTATTAATAGATAACCCTGAAGAGGAAAAGGAGGTAAACTATCATGTTAACTTGATTTTAATCAAGGATGAATTATGCTATCACAATGAGAAAATGAGGTCTTTACTTTAGTTTTAAACAATTGAGTTGTCAAAGTTAAATTTTAAATAACTATTAAGTTGCACTAAAAATATTTGTGTTTCGGAACCTATTTTAATTCATTTTACAGTGAAATGCATGCAGTGACATAATATTTAAGTTGTATATTGGTAAAATAGAACTTGTTTAGATACGTCTTAAAGCCAAAAAATAATAATAATAATAAATAAATAAATGATTAAATATTAATATGAGAAGGAGATAGTCGAGGGTGCGGTCAAATAAATAAAAAAATTAAAATATATAAATTATTTTAATTTTTGCCGACGTTTCGACCCACTTTGCAAGTCATCTTCAGGGTTACAAAAGATACAAACATGTTGAAAAAATAAAAATAAACATAAGTATATATAAAATAGGAAGAAGTTGTCTGATACAGAAATAAAATATAAAGAAAATAAATACATGATAAGAAAATAGATAAAAGAAAATAAATACATGAATTTTAACGAATAAATGAATGTTAACGAATAAATAGATTGAAAATTGAATAACTATTGTTACAGTAAAGTTAAAATATGGATAAGATAACATAATAATAAGATATCAGTGGATAACAAGCAAGTGGAGGTTACCTTTATTATTATGTTATCTTATCCATATTTTAACTTTACTGTAACAATAGTTATTCAATTTTCAATCTATTTATTCGTTAACATTCATTTATTCGTTAAAATTCATGTATTTATTTTCTTTTATCTATTTTCTTATCATGTATTTATTTTCTTTATATTTTATTTCTGTATCAGACAACTTCTTCCTATTTTATATATACTTATTTTATGTTTTATTTTTATTTTTTCAACATGTTTGTATCTTTTGTAACCCTGAAGATGACTTGCAAAGTGGGTCGAAACGTCGGCAAAAATTAAAATAATTTATATATTTTAATTTTTTTATTTATTTGACCGCACCCTCGACTAACTCCTTCTCATATTATATTAACGGTCAACCATCTCTACATCATTATGGATTAAATATTAATTTAAAAAAACTGATCCAGTGGAATTTCAGCTTATTATCATATATTTTGTTTTATCTTCATTTACTTGTTACTCGATTTGCTCTGGTTCTCTTATCATATTCTTACTGAGTCTCTCAATGTCCTGTTGATTCCTTGTAAGGACAGCTGTATCATCTGCATATCCAATGATTTTTTAATTCATTCTGATGTGCACCTCCCCATTTTCTTGTGATGTTATTCCTGTCTCCTTCTCCAGCCTTAAGCTGAACAACATCAGCGATAATCCATCTCCCTGCCACAAGCCAGTTCAAACTTTGAAGGGTTTAGACAAATCTCCTCGTATCAGCACTTGGCATTTAAGATCATTTATACATACCTTTGTCAATCACACAAACTTCCTGGGAATTCCCAGTTCAATCATGATTTTCCAAAGACAGTTTTTGTCCATATAATCATGGCAAAAAAAGGCTGCTTGCTAAATCTACTCATAAAGTGTGCACACCCAAGCTGCTTCCCAACATTTTTGAACACTTGTTTTGGGATGAAAATTTGGCCTAGTATGCCCCTTCCTCTTCTGAATCCAACTTTGTGGTTACATATTATATTTTTGTAATACGAAAATATCTGATTTAGTAGAATATTGGTCATTAGCTTATAGGAACAGCAAGAAGTGCTATGCCTCTCTTATTACTACACTCATACATAGAGCCTTTCTTTAGGATAGGCTAGATTAGGGACCCGTATTCCAAGCCTATACTTTTATCCTTTACTTCTTCTACATTTTGTAGATTAATTGTAGTAGTTTGGCTGTTAAGTTTTCTCTTCGATCTATCCTTAAACAGCTCTAATGGTAGATTGTCCATCCCTGAGGCCTTTCTTGTTTTAAGCTTTTTGATAACCATTTACATCCAGTATATATGATTTTTCAATCTATGTGGGTTCCTTTTGATTGAGAAACTGGAACTGTTATTTGCAGATCCTCAACATATTTCCTTTTGTTGCCATCAGAATGCCCTCTTTTGCTTGCATTTGTATGCAGAATTCGCGTATATATCCAGCCTGCCATTTGTCTTCAATGGTTTGCAATCTTTCTTTGAGGATTTCTCTTCCAAATAATTCCCTTTTTATTTATAGTTATATAATTGTTCAGAGTAGCTTGATCAGTTTTGGCTAAGTAGAGGACTTTCATTGTTCTTCTTTTCTCTACTGCCTTTTCACATTATTCTGTGAAACATTTCTTAGGTTTTCGTCTCTCCTGAATATCTATTACTTCCTCAACTATATCTTGTTGCTCTATTACCCCTCAGTATTGATCAACCATGAAGCTCTCTGAGTCCAAGGGTTCAAATTTATTCTTCAGCTCAAGTTTGAATTTGGTTTATACTTCAGTATTTTTCAAATGACTTTGTTCCTCATTTTTTCCTCTTGATAATGATGCTGAGATTATAATGCTGTTATATCCAGTGAATCCTTCTACCCCAATAGCCGAGTCATCGGTTGAATTATGAATCGATGAGCAATGAGACGTTCTGATTTCCATCAATGAGTTTAGAGATGGTCTTGTAGATTTACGATGTCATTGACAAGCTCAGTGTTGAGTTTAGAAGCTTAGCTTGCTCAGTGTATATAAATTATTATGTATGCTGTTAAAGCCCAAATTGTGAACACTGAATATCATTTGTGATTAGTCATTACACTACATAAATCTGAAGAATTATGTTAATAAGCTAAGACAATACATTCTCAGAGATTTCGAAATTTTCTTTTTAAAGATTTGTTAAAATTTTCTTTTATACTATGATTAAAGATGATTAGTTTTTACTTTCACTTACCTACATTTGAAATATATAGAAAGAGTATTATCATCATGGAAAATGTTGAATCTGTATTTTCAATAGAAATACAAGCTTTAAGGTCCCATGAGTTCAAATAACCTAGACTTGCAAAATGGTCTGAGTATATCTGAATATCATAGTTCAAAAATGAAAAGACTTATAATGCTGTTATTAAGTATTGAAGGTACATACATATTTATATGCTTGTTATGTTACTGCAACTGTTTTGCTAAAATTGACTTCCTAGAAGTGGCACTTAATGTCATTGATTTTACACATTTTTACAATTATCCTATAAACAGATTAAGCAATTTTGAATAAATTTGTTAAAATGATCTAAAATTAAATGGTGTTTAATATCAGTTAGGTCTTATTCTTATTTAAATAGCCTGCTCAACAAGGCATTCCCACTGTGCTTTATCTTATGCCATGTTGGTACTTATTCCCAGCTTTTGAAGGTCACTGCTGACATTGTGCTCCTATGTAGTTTTGGGTCTACCACTCAGGTTTTCGAGATATCCATCCTCAACTATGGCTAATTTTGAAAAAAAAATTGTTGCCTCATGTTTATTGCTATATTTCGGGTTTTCGCTTATTTCAGGAAAACTATACATTGCATCGACAAAGGCGTCCTATACAAAATTTTCAATATGATTGATTATATACCTTTTTTCACTTCAGTACCTCACTTAGTTTACGAGAAATTCGTTCTCAACTATCACTGATTTAGAAAAAAAAATTGACCACATGTTTTTACTGTAGTTGACTAGCTAACTCTTGATTGCTTCGTTCTACGATTAAGTCTTGAGGAAAGAAGTTTTTAGTAATTAAATTTTTTTCAAGAATATATAATATTGAATTAGTTTATCTTTAACAGTTGAAAAGTTAGAATCAATTATAACTTTATATGTGAATTCCGAGAATTTACTGCAATAAATAATTTTCAAAATATATATATATATATATACAAGCATCTCATACAACCTTTGAGTCTTCCATAAACCAAAGATTATTAGTTCAAATTCCAATGCCGGGAGGACATTTAACTCTGGTATTAATCCCCCAGCCTCTTCCCTGGTCCGGGAAAAAACTCTTTATAGCTGAAAAGGTGAGAAAGGAAAGAAAAAAAATGCTCTCATTCAATTCTTCATGTCTCTTCTTCATGTAAAAAAAAAATTAAATTATATATGTGCCATTTTGAAAATAAGTTACTCAAATGTTTGGTGAGTTTCTAAGTCATATGTTATTCTCTTCTGGATAACTTGTATAGCTCAGTAAAAATATGGCCAATTTATGATCTTCCACTCCTGAAATCCATCTGTTCCTCTGCCATCTGATCCAAGAGCTCTTTCTCTAGCTTTTTAGAATTTGACGATATAAAATATTATTATATGAATAATTATTTTTATTATTATTGGCTGTTCATTTCCATAACCAAAGACCCATTAAAGATATTTGTTTTTTCCCCCTAAAACACCCACAGGACCTTTCATTTTATCTTGTAATCAGCTATTTTAATATTAATGTACATGAAAATAACTTATTCCTTATATAGAGCTTATCATTATGCTATATCATAATTTGAGGCTTAGTTTTGATATATTCTAGTTTATTCTCTTAATTAACTTTTTTTGACCATTTTATTATTATTATTTTTTTTAAGGGAGATGAAATAATGTTTAATTATGAAAATAGCTGGAAAAAGAAAAGTTTTGCCAATATGAAACCAATTCATATGGAACAAGAAGTTCCTGATGTTGAATATTCAAAGGTGAATATATAAAACTTTTATACTTTTAGTATGCATGAGGTTATGAATGTTTTTTCTTTATGATCTAATTGAGAATCTAATACTGCCTCTAATGTTTTTAGTGATAATATTAGTTTTAATTAAGTTTTTCTGCTGCATGGAAACAATATTAGTTCAGTAAATTTGAGTCTTAAAAAAAAGAGGTGATCTTGCTTCAGATGGTGTCTTAATTATTTGGCATGTTTTATGTGATTGATGTCTAATAATAAATGGAAGTTTCCGCCTTGATAGACCTCTGGATCATTTTGAAATACTTTAAAACCACAATTTTTTTAAAAAGATTTTTTCAATTTTTATTGACCCTCTAAGACCAACTTTCTGTTAAAAATGACTGCATACTGTTTGAAAGTAATTAAAATTAGCAACGAATTGATTATTTAAACCCAATACTTTACAATAATTTGAACAATAAATAACTTTTAGAGGTTATTCCTAATTTCAACCATAAAGAGTTTGTACTTTGGCAAAAGTATGTCCATTATCAAATTAGACCAAGTTTTCCATAAATGAAGACTAAGTTATTTTCTGTACAACCAAATTTGGAAAAATTTACATATTAACAACTTTTATAGATTTTAACTGATTTCAACAAAAAAGATCCTATGCTTTAACAAAAGTCACTGTTAACAAAATTGACAGCCAAATTTAGATCACACTGTTTTCTATTGACCCAATACTGTTTGATGAAACAACTGTTTATAGGAGTTTGTAAAATGAGAAACTCTGTGATATATTCAATGATTAGTATAATTCATCATATCTTGAATTTGTAAACTTAGATTCATTATTAGCCATATGTTATGTAAAATATCTCATATAATCAGAACTACCTCCTAAGCTACGTTTTCATGAAAATAATTTAAGCAATTAAGAGGTTTCTTTATTTTAAATGTAAATATTAGGATTGAAAATATTTATTTGGTCACTCATAAATACGGATCAATTTCTATAATAGAGATCTTAATAAAAACCTCAGTTTCATTATCACTTTTGATGATAAATATTAAAAAAATCATTATTTTTAACTTTATTTTTTATAAATAAAAAGTTTATTTATGAATTTATCTCTATTATAATGCATGTTAGGTAATGGAAAGAAAATAAATCAAAGCTTTGCAATAATGTTTAGTTGTCATTTTTGCTGAAAACATTTATTATTAGCACAAATGGACAGATCAGAAGATTTAAAACTTGTAAGAGAATTGATCAAATTAGTTTAAAAAACAAAACAAGAATTGAAACGAACAAATAAGATCTCTCCTTTTGGATTAATTTTAAATAAATTATAAGACATGGAGATTTTAATTAATTTTTTATTAAAATTTACAGCCTAATAAAGTTTATTTGGTTTGTCTTGGAAATAGACAAATTTCATAGGAGGGGTTACTTATTTGAGAAATTAGTGAGTTTCTAGTGCATAATGTAGTGCAAAAACAATTGTAGCAAGTTTGATCTACTATGTCTAAAATCTTATCTTCAAAGCCATTCAATGTCTCAAACAAGCTACTCTCTTCTAAAAATTCAGGGAAGTAGTTAAATGTTAATTGAAATTGTGCAATTTAAAATAGTTTTTTTAATTTATTGACTGAACGGTTCATCCTATGCTGAAATAGCATTACTGATTGGAATCAGTATGAAAGTTGCGTGCGTGATTACACCAGAAATTATCACTTGGTATTTTCTCTTATTATGCTGTGTGCATCTTATTATGCTAAGTGCATTTTTTTACAGCTATAATTGATTAATTTCTTGCCTTTAATAATTTCTAATTCTTTGACATTTTCCTGATTGTATTACTGGTAGGTTTTCAGATTACTTAATTTAAACTTAAACTTCGGAATAATACTGATTAAGATATAAAAATAACCATATTTTATGGTATTAGTATCTGTTAAATAGAATTTGATGTTAATACTTAATTTTTTTATTATGAAAATAGAACTGTAGTATTCTGTTTGCTTTTCCTTTAGGCTTCCTTTTGGTCTAAAATTATTATTTAGTGGCTTATTTGGGATCATTACAGAATATGCTAAAATGTTAAGGTTTTTACTACTTACCTGCTAGAGTAATTACTGGAGGGAAATATATTATAGATCTAAAGAAAAAAAAAAAAAAAAAAAAAAAAAAAAGAAAGAAAGAAAAAGTCATTAAAGGAATAGGCAAATATGTGAAAATAGATGAGTTTATCTGTTAGAAGAAAATATATATAGTTCACTAAAAAGGCAACAATCTCAAGTGTGCAAAAGAGATTACTCAGATTTGTTAATGAATCTGTAAGATTAAACTAATATCTTATCTGTAACTAACAATAGCTAGAATATTTTACAATTAAAGTTTACCATTATTGCTGCCCATTACCATCTAAGAAGTATGATAACCAGAATAAAATACAATAAATATATCAACTTTATGAAGGATCAAGGGTTCAGTTTGTAAACACCCAGTCTCACGTTAGTCATTGTGCTCAGTTATTCTGTTTCGCTCGAAACGACAAAGCAACAGTTTCATAAAAGTCACAAAAATTAATTTTTCATTTTAAATTCTCAAGGTTACTGCTTAAATAGCCGGTCGGGTCCGTCTGCTATTTGGCAATGTTTATAACTTAACACTGATAATTCCTATCTTTGTATTCATATCTATTGTATTATATTCATATTATTGGTATTAATATTATTATATCTTTGTATTCATATTTATTGTATTATATTCATATTATTAAAATTGTAAACAAAAACAAATGTAATATTAAAAAAAACTGTTATTTTACAACATATATATTAAATAGACCAAAAAATTGTACCTATATAATGTAAAAACATTACAACATATATATAAAAATAAATGAAATAATAAAAAAACATTTAAACAACATATGTACATATAAAATAAACACTATGAAGACTATAAAGAACATATGTACACATAAAAGAAACAATACAAAGAATCCTCAAGAAATAAAAGTGAAATCCTCGACCCCTCTAACCACGTTCATTTCCTTATAGAAACGTTTTTGTTACAAGTACGAAAGCATCTCCATTTCGTGTTCCCGTCAAACTTCATTTCATGACCTTCATCACAATATTTCACCTTTGCAATTATCCCGGCGTCTTGAAAATATTTGATAGCCTCTCCATTGGAACAATGTAACAACATCTATAATTTTACAAAAATAACACTTATGGAGCAAAAAATAAACAATGGAATAACTTAGGCTGGACGAGATAAGAAGGGAGGTTATTTGATATAAGATTAGATAACAAGGGATCTTCGACCCGACCGGCTATTTAAGGAGTACCTTCTTAAGTATTGAAGACAACGTACAAAAAAGAAAAACAAATCTATATTGGTAAAGGAATGAGGCTTTGGAAAAAAGACCTTTACTGGCTGGCGAGGAAGAAGAAGCCACTCCGTAAAGTTAAGTTTGTTTGGTTCACATACAGGTATAGTGAGTGCCAAACACCTGTTGTCATTCTTTCCACAGTCATTATTATTAAAGAAAATGATTTGGAAGACTTTCAAGTAAAATATGGTTTTTGCTGCTCACAGAGGATATAATAATGCTTATTTTTGTACTTTGTATCTTAAAGGTATTTTTTCCAAAGCCTCATTCCTTTACCGATACAGATTTGTTTTTCTTTTTAGTACATTGTTTTCAGTACTTGAGAATTTTAGATGAAAAATTAATTTTAATTGAAAATCTTCCGAATCATTTTCTTTAATAATAATGACTGTGGAAAGCATAACAACAGGTTTTGGCATTATACCTGTATGTGAACCTCATTCCTTTACCGATATAGATTTGTTTTTCTTTTTTGTAAATTTTCTTCAGTATTTGAGAATTTAAGATGAAAAATTAATTTTCGTGGCTTTTATGATATTGTTGCTTTGTCTTTTCGAGCGAAACAGAGGAACTGAGCACGATGACTAACTGCGAGAAAGGGTGTTTACAAACTGAATCCTTGAGCCTTCATAAAGTTGATATATTTATTGTATTTTATTCTGGTTATCATACTTCTTAGATGGTAATGGGCAGCAATAATGGTAAACTTTAATTGTAAAATATTCTAGCTATTGTTAGTTATAGATAAGATATTAGTCTAATCTTGCAGATTCATTAACAAATCTGAGTAACCAGAGATTGTTGACTTTTTGGTGAACTATATTATATTTTGGATATTTAATAGTTGACCGTTGCATTATAAAGGAAGGAGATGGTCCGGGGTTGCGGTCATAAATAAGCTAAATAGTGGTAAAACTATTTTATTGAAAGCCGACGTTTCGACCCGACTTTGCAGGTCTTCTTCAGGGAGGTGTGTTAAGCTAGGAGTTTCACTTAGAACTGACTGAACGGAGTTCTAAGTGAAACTCCTAGCTGAACACACCTCCCTGAAGAAGACCTGCAAAGTTGGGTTGAAATGTCGGCTTTCAATAAAATAGTTGTACCACTATTTAGCCTATTTATGACCGCAACCCCAAACCATCTCCTTCATTTATATTATATTTTCTTCTAACAGATAAACTCATCTGTTTTCACATATTTGTCTACTCCTTCAATGACTTTTTCTTTCTTTCTTTTCTTTTTTTTAATACCTACTACACATTTCCCTCCAGTATTACTCTAACACACTATTATTGTTAAATATTCTAATTATTCGCAACCCTTATAAATTCAGATATGTTTAAATGTTTTTGTTTGACTTTGCCAAGGTCATTTCACTAGTGAATATGTAATTCCTCTTTTAGCAAGAAATTAATTTTTGTGGCCATGAAAGCTAATCCTTAAAATAATATTTAATTATTATGAGTAAAATAAATATCTTGCATCAGCTAATATTTATGTTTATCAATATATCGCTGCTTAGCATTGATTGGAGCATATATAAAAAAAAGGGTATTTTAAAATTTTATTTTACACTTACTCCTAAAAAGAAAAGTTTCTAAAGTCATAGAGAACGGCACAT